TCACAGCATATACGTTGGTTTGTGGGTCTCCCCTGATCGTTAACTTGTCACAAGCTATATACGTACGTTTTGGTCTGCAGTGTCGGTCACTTGTACAAGTAATACGTCGGTTTGTCGCGAGTCTCCGTGGTCGTGATTGTTACAAGTACGTATACTGCGTTTGTGGGTCTCCGTGGTCTACTTGTACAAGTATATACGTGGTTGGTGGTTCCCTAGGTCGGTGACTTGTCAAGTTACTTACGGTGTGCGTTTGTTGAGTCTTCCGGGTGATCGTTACTGTTCAAGTATTACGTGGTTGGTGGGTCTCCGGGGTGGTACTGTACAAGTTTATACGTGGTTGTGGGCTCTCCTTGGTCGCTTACTGTGTACAGAGCTATAGACGTAGGTTGCTGGGTCTCCGGTGCTCGATAACTTGTACAAGTGATAGGACGTGGATGGGGTCCTCCGCTGATCGTTACTTGTACAACATAGTATACGTGGTTTGGGGTATTCGATGGTCGTTACTTGTGACAAGTAGATATACCGTGCGTTTGTGAGTCTCCGGTGGTGCTTACTTGTACATCAGTATTATACGTGTTTGTGGGCTCCTGAATCGCTTACTATGTACAAGTATATACGTGGATTGTGGGTCGCCGTGTCGTTACTTGTACAAAGTATACTACGTTGGTTTGTGCGGTCTCCGTGGTATCGTTCTATGTACAATGTTATACGTCGTTGTGGTTCTCCGTGATCGGTTACTTTACAAGTATTATACGTGCGTTTGCTGTCTCCGTGTCGTTAGCTTGTACAGGTATATACGTTGGTTTTGTGGTCTCCGTGATCGTTACTTGTACAAGAGTACTTACGTGGTTTGTGAGCTCCTGTGGTCGTACTTGTACCAAGTATACGTAGGTTTCTGTGGCTCCGTGAATTCCTTCACTTGTACACACTATACGTGGTTTGTGGGTCTCCGTGCACGTTACTTGCTACAAGTAATCACGTGGTGTGTGGTGTCTCCGTGGGTCGTTACTTGCTACAAGTTTTATTACGGGGGCGTTTTGTGGTCTCCGTGATCGTGAACTTGCTAACACGCTATATACGTCGTTTGTGGGTCTACTCCGCTGATCGTTACTTGTACAAGTATATACTGGTTGGTTTGTGGGTCTGCCGTGCATCGCTTACTATGTACAAGTTATACGTGGTTTGTGGGTCTCCCGTGTCGTTAGCTTGTACAAGGTATATACGTGGTGTTGTGGGTCTCCGTGATCGATTATTGTACAAGTGTATACGTGGTTGATGGTCTCCAGTGATCGTTACTTGTACAAGTATATTACGTGAGTTTGTGGTTCTCCGGTGAATCTTACTTGCTACAAGTATCATACGTGTTTGTGGGTCTCCGTGATCGTTTACTTGTACAATATAATACGTAGCGTTTGTGGGTCTCACGTGATCGTTACTTGTACAAAAAAAAAAAAAAAAAAGAGAACGAGGGAAAAAAGGGGGGAAAGAAGGGATGGGTATAAGCGTGGTTGGTGTGGGTCTCGTGATCGTTACTTGTCAAGTTATACGGTCGTTATGGGTCTCAGTCGATCGCTTACATGTACATATATACGTGGTTGTGAGTCTCGTGATTCGTCTTACTTGGACAAGCATATACGTGGTTTGGGGCGTCTCCGTGATCCGCTTACTTGTACAAGTATATACGTCGTTTGTGGGTCTCCATGATCGTTACATGTACAAGTATGATGCTCAGTCATGGGTCTCCGTGATCGGTTACTGTTACAAGTATAACGCGTCGGTTTGTGGGTCTCCGTGATCGTTCTGTACAAAGTATATACTCGTTTGTGGGGGTATCCCATGTCCGTTACATTGTACAAGTATTATACGTCGTTTGCTGGGCTCTCATGGATCGTTACATGTATCCGAGCATTACCGCGGATTTCACTCCACACACACCACACAACGCGCGCACGCACACACACACAAACACGCCGCACCGCCGGCGCGCGCGCCGGCACACATACAGCACACAACGCGACGCACGCACCACGCGACGCAAGCGCACGCATGATGCTACATACATGACATACATAGCATACATACCATACAATACATACATTACAACGACTGCCGATGTACATGCTTACGCGACTGGAGAAAGCAGAGCCAGAACGATTGTTGGCTCGTTAACTAAATGCATGTTGCGGTCATTCGGTATCTGCGGCCGGTTACTTCGGGGTTGTCATATTTTCATAGCGAACCCTTTGTCGGTCGTCTAGGCAGTGATGATCGATTTTTTCGTAGTTTTTCAATCGAATTTGAATAGAGTGGTAGGATAGGTTCTCTGGCAGCAGACCGGACAGCTTGCGCTATAACGTCTAATACGCGTCAGTGAAGTTAGCTCCAGTTCCCAGTCCCAGTTCCCCATAAGGAAACTAGTATACTGGGCAAACAGTTACCAGTTCCAGTTATTCCAGGTCCTTATTCGGGAATAAGGAACTAGTAACTATAGGCAAAGCAGTTCCCAAGTTCCCAGTTCAGTTTCTTTTCGAATAAGGAACTAGTAACTAGGCTCGAAAGGCAGTTACTCAGTTTCAACAGTTCAGAAATGCAAATTGAATTTGGAACTGTACACATGGCAAAAGAGTAATAGTTACTGTATTCGGTCAAAATGAACCCTTTGGCCACACATTCTATTCGAGACTGGTAACTGAATAAGTAGCTGGGTCTATACGAACCTGAGTAAGCTGATTAATAAATGTGTGCCAAAGGGTTAATGTGGCCGAATAAGTAATACTTAACTTATTTCTGCCTACGGTACAGCTTAGCCAATTCATATGTTCCATTCTCGAACTGGGAACCTGGGAACTGCTTTGCCTTATCAGTTCTAGTTGCCTTATTCGATAAGGAATGGGAACTGGTAAACTGCTTGGCGCCTATGTACTAGTCCTTATGTCGAGATAGGAACTGCTCGAACTGGTACTGCCTTTGCCTAGTACTGTCCCTTATTCCGATAACGCAACTGCGAGAACTGTAACTGCGGGTAACCTGCTTGCCCTGGTTACTAGTTCCAACTGGGCAGCTACTTCCCCGAGACTCTTATACACGTCTTTCGGATGTATAGGACCTGTTTCTTGGGCTGATTAGCGTCACGCGGACGTCACGGCTGTGTTAAAGAGCCCATCGCGCGCTTAGGTTCTAAATTAAATTTACCAACGATTTACTTTACGCGGCGGTTGTACACCCAGTAGCTTGCGATTTCACCCAGGGAACGGACGTTGGGAGCCAGTCTGTATGCACTACAGTCAAACACTGAGTGTGATTGCAATTCTTCTCCAAAATGGCATCCATTACTTCCTTTCAGCACTGACCTTCTGCTCAATCCCCGAGTAGACCACGGCAAGGACGGTCACTCCATGAACGTAATGATTGCGTTTAGTCCCAGTATGGCAGCGATGTCGTCATTATTTTGATACGAAGATTCTGCTTTCCTGGAGTGATTTACACTTCCATGAAAAGTAGCCCGCCCGCTCAATATCTGACGCGGAATCTGCACGCTTGCCTCGAACCAAAAACAAAACGCTGTCTCCGATTTGGTGGATGGATGGAAATAAAATAAATCGGCATATATTTTGGCCACGCGGCAATTTAAAATAGAAACCATTAGTCATCCATCATAGAACTTTTTTGTCGTGATGTACATTGCTCATACGAAATGAGATGTTTTTAGACACGTCGCATAACCTGCCTTCGGCACCTTTTTATAAAAGTGCCCTTTATTTCTTACTGGACCCCCCCTTTTTCAAAAAGCCGGATCCGCCCATGTATACATGTACGTCATACTATTTTGGAGTAGTCTACATGTATGGGTGCTTATGCATGTATAAACTTCTTATCAATTTTAACATGCATTTCTCATTAAAACCTCAAAATATTGTATGCATGTGATGTAACTCCAAATATGTATATTAATAAAACCATTTGTGGTGGATCGGGATGGCTGTAGGGGTGTTGGGAGGCCATCTAATGCAACAAATATTCCTATTTAACATATATTTTTTCACCAAAATTCCTATTTTCCTTCTATTTTTTCACATCTGAAATTCCTATTTTCTTATTTTTTGAGCGTCACTTGTCACTTGACGCCCTGAACATGTAATACGTTGATAATAAAACCCAGGATAAGTGTGAAGTGGACTTATATTAGTGGAGGCGTGAACAGTCTACGCGGAACAAGGCCCCGCTGTACGACCTCATTAATGCTTCGATCAGCTCATGATTTGATGACACAGAAAGCTGCAATAGTTAGCGATGAACTACTAGTTTCGACTCATGATATAGTCTTCATCGGGTTCTTCTAACTTTGTAAAGCTGAAACCCCGTGTTTTGCAGCGATTAATAAAACCGAGTCAGTGTAGGATCGTCTGGTACGACCTCTCTGTTATAAACCCACAAACGTGCGATGTTAGTGTTACAAATACGACACGTTGCGCGTAAACAACCTAGCTGTTGCAGTCCTATAAAGAAACAAACTAAACATTCGATTTAATTAAATATAAATTCGACTAACTTCAATAAAAAAATAATCAAGTGCATTCAGTACAACAAAATTAGCTTGGTTATTTGGTTAGCCATATGAAACGAACAGCCGTTTGCTGCCCCGTATACATATGGTATTTTCTCACCCGCAGATGCGTCAAAAGAAATTTGTTATTTCTAGAATTTTATTAGTTGCGTTGCGTAACAGCATCGTGTTGACCTACGTTATAACCGCGTGCTATATATATATATATATATATATATATATATATATATATATATAGCATGAAGTTACTGCGATCGTTGTTTTATTGATTTACTAAATGTAAGGGATATGCTAGACATTCGCTTCAGCAGCAGTCTGTCTGCAAGCTAGCTAGCTGTTTTATGTCCTTCTCGGGGTTTTGCTTCGTGTTTAGATCTACACTGCGTTGCTGCTTAGGGTTTGTTGCTTAGTGGTTTTTCTTCTGTGTTAATTGCAGTGTGAGGTGTTGACAGCAGAGGCGGAGCTGCAGAGCTACGTTGACAAGTCGTCGTTGCCGACCGACCTAGGCGGTACCTGCGGTCACAATCACGAGGCATGGATCGCCTACAGACTAGTAAGCGAGATTGCTGCAACGTCTGTCTGCAACAAAATCCAGTTAAAATGATGCCAGTTTGTGGACGTGCGCGCGTGCCAGCAGGGGTGTGCGTGCGTGCGTGCCAGCAGGGGTGTGCGTGCGTGCGTGCCAGCATGGGTGTGCGTGCGTGCCAGCAGGGGTGTGCGTGCGTGCGTGCCATCAGGGATGTGCGTGCGTGCGTGGCAGCAGGGTTATGCGTGCGTGCGTGCCAGCAGGGGTGTGCGTGCGTACCAGCAGGGGTGTGCGGGCGTGCGTGCTAGTTTGTGGACGTGCGTGCGTGCCAGCAGGGGTGTGCGTGCGTGCGTGGCAGCAGGGGTGTGCGTGCGTGCGTGGCAGCATAGGTGTACGTGCGTGCGTGCAGGGGTGTGCGTGCGTGCGTGCCAGCATGGGTGTGCGTGCGTGCGTGCCAGCAGGGGTGTGCGTGCGTGCGTTCCAGCAAAGGTGTGCGTGCGTGCGTACCAGCAAGAATGTGCGGGCGTGAGCGTACAGGAGTGTGTGCACGTGCGTGTGCATGCATGCAGTCATGTTTGTGCGGGTGTGCCAGTGCATGTGGGAGTGTGCGTACTTGAGAGCGTGAGTCCGTGTCTGTGCGTGCGTGATGCGTGATGCGTGTTTGCGTGCGTGCGTCTGCGTGCGCGTGTGTTGGTAAGTAGCTAAGCCGGCTTTCACTAAAGATGTAATTTATGCGTTGCAGAAACTTGAGCCATTCATAGTGCAGTGTCAGTTGGTAGCTGTTCACTTGTTGAATACCGCTGCAGAATTACAGTATAAACAGCAGCCATCCAACGTAGAGGGCGCTGACCACATGATGGACTTGTACAGGTAAATGACTAATACAATTGCTAGTAGATCGCTTCTGGCTTTCTTCTGTCTCCTTTCTCTGTGTGTGTGTGTGTGTGTGCGTGCGTGCGTGCGTGTGTGTGTATGTGTGTGCGCGCGCTCATGCGTGTGTCTGTGTGGGTGGGTGTTGTGTGTGTGTGCGCGCGCGCGTGTGTGTGCGTGCGCGTGCGTGCGTGTGTGCGCGTGTGTGCATGTGTGTTTGTCTACATTTTTTGTGAGTGCGTGTATAGGTAGGTATAATAGGTACGCGAGTTTATGCCTGGAGAATTCACCTGTTGTAATTTTTGGTGCTTGTGTGAGTGTCTGCACACGGAGGATGGCTTCAGATTTGTCAGCGAAATACTCACAAGCATATGCCACAGACAATTAGGATGTCGGACAGCAAACTTAAACATTAAACAGTGAAATGTTGGTAAAAGTAAGATCTTACCTGAAATTGACTATGTGTATCACAACATAAAGCACTTTAATTGAGCACTGCAGTCGTACGATGGACGTTTGTTCTAATATGACCTAATAACACTCTGTGTGTCTGCGTGTATTATTCATATAATGACATATCGAACACGATGTATTTATCATTCAGCAGATGGTGTATGCGTATTGGAAGCGTGTTTGTCAAATCGTTAGCGTAAAAAATGCATCTCAAGCAACGGTAAACTTTGCATTGACATCCATTGTTGATAATAACTGAAACGGGGGATGTGAACGGGCCATACATACATATGTTAATTTACATTACATTACATTACATTTACATTAAGTACAGCTATGCAAACACACATATATATATACATTACACGAGACCAGCGGTGTGTAGCTGGTATATAATAGCATCGGTGTTAGGTGTTTTTACGCGTCAATACCAATCGATACATGCCGCTGTTTATTTACGCCTCTTGCAAACAACTTTTCACGATTGAGCAGGCGCTTTTGACAGTTGAGTTGCGCGCTATGGGCGTATAGGGTGATGTTTCAGCAGTGTATATAATAGGTTCCCTGTCAAGGGAAACCAAGTCTTCTCGGGTCAGTGACAGGCACACGGACGCTGATCGAAGGCATAAATACACGCGTGTCGGCACGCGGACCGATCAGACGTGCTCGTGTCGGAGCAGGCTCCACGCGAACGACATGTCCTCGGCTGCGCGCGACAAAGCAGCGGCAAATCAGCGGCAAATCAGAGGGAAAACAGCGGCAAAGCAGCGGCAAACCAGAGGAAAAGCAGCGGCAAAGTAACGGCAAAGCAGCGGCAAAGCAGCGGCAAAGCAGAGGAAAAGCAGCGGCAAGGCAGCAGTAAAGCAACGGCAAGGCAGCGGCAAAGTCTCGGATCGACGTGAGCTCGGAGACGGGCACGCTGGGCGACCGTAGATGCGCGCGAGATCCCGCGACGAGCCGTCGTCGTCGTCATCTGCAACAATGATGAACTGGGCGCAGCTGGTGTATCCTCGTCTGAGCTTCGTTCTCCCGGAGGAGAAGGAGAAGGGGGAGCCTTCCCGCGACGACGCGTGCCTGCAGGAGAAGGAGGAAGAAGAGGATGAGGAGGAGGTCGCGTACTCGGAGCTGCTCGACGCGCTGGCGCCGATGCTGTGGCTGCTGCGCATCTGTGCGTGTCTGCCGGAGCCGTGGCTGCGGCGCATGCGGGCGGAGCGGCCCTGGCGCTGCCGCCTCCCGCGCCTCGCCGCCTGCCTCGTCGCCGTCGCCGCAACGCTCGCCTTCCTCAACTCGCACTTCGGCGAGGACGTCGTCGATGGCGGCGCGGGCGGTGTGGGCAGCCTCTCGCTCCCGCCGACGATGGGCGCTCAGTTTGTGATCACGAGCGGGGCGACGGCGGTGACGTACGTGACGCTGACGCTGCGCAATGCCTGCCTCTCGCCGATGCTGGCGACGTGGGCGCGCGCGCTGGCGACGCTGCAGTGCGGCGCGCGGCGGGAGGTGACGCGGCGGACGCGCCGCTGCGCGCGTCTTGCCGTCGTGCTCTGCGTCGTCGTCGTCGCGGCGACAGCGGTCGGGCTGTTCGCGTACGACGTGGCGCAGCACCGCGAGCGCCACGCGGCCGTCGTCGCATCAGTGCTCCTGCGCACGCTGAAGATGGCCTGCAGCCTGGGGCTGTGCGCGCTGCCCTGCGTCTGGTTTGCCGTCGTCGTGCGCGGGCTCATGCACGCGCTCAACGTCCTCGTCGGCGACGCGCGGCTCGTCGCTGCGGCGACGACCGCCGGATCTGGGAATGCGTGGCGCACGGCCGCCGGATCTGGGAATGCGTGGCGCACGGCCGCCGGATCCCGGAATGCGTGGCGCACGGCCGCCGGATCCGGGAATCCGCGGTGTGCGGCGGTCGGGCGGCTGTGGCGGCAGTACCTCGCCTGGCAGGTGCTGCTGCTGAGCGCCAACGCCTACTTCGCGCAGCTGCTCTTTCTCATCTACGCGAGCTGCCTGGTGATCACCTGCCTCGCGCTCTACAACTTCACGCGCTACGACTTGGCGCTGACGACGCCGATGGTCGTCAGCATGCTACCGAACGTCGGCGTGATGGTCGCCATGACGACGGTCGCTGTCGTGCTCATCGAGGGCGGATACGAGCTGCAGCTGGAGCTGTGCCGCGTTGACGTGGCGCGTCTGAGCAGCGACGCCCGGGAGAAGGTGAGGCCCGAAGTTGTAGACGTAGGGAGAAGGTTGAGAGAGAAGGGTAGGGAGAAGGTTGAGAGAGAAGAGTAGGGAGAAGGTTGAGCGAGAAGGGTAGGGAGAATGTTGAGAGAGAAGAGTAGGAAGAAGAGTAGTAACTCAACCTTCTCCCTACTCTTCTCTCTCAACCCTCTCCCTACTCTTCTACCTACACTCCTCCCTACACACTCCGCACACATACCCTACACTCACTACTCCCTACTACTGCCTACACTTCAGAGAAGAGTAGGGAGAAGGTTGAGAGAGAAGAGTAGGGAGCCTTAACCTTTTCCCTACCCTTCTCTCTCAACCTGCTCCCTACTCTTCTCCCTTTAACCTTCTCTCTACTCTTCTCCCTCAACCCTCTCCCTACTCTTCTCTCTCAACCTTCTCCCTACTCTTCTCTCTAAACCTTCTGCCTACTCTTCTCTCTCAACCTTCTTCCTACTCTTCTCTCTCAACCCTCTCCCTACTCTTCTCTCTTAACCTTCTCCCTATTATTCTCTCTCAACCTTCTCCCTACCCTTCCCTCGTAACCTTCTCCCTACTCTTCTCTCTCTCAACCTTCTCCCTACTCTTCTCTCTTAACCTTCTCCCTACTCTTCTCTCTCAACGTTCTCTCTACTCTTCTCTCTCAACCTTCTCTCTACTCTTCTCTCTCAACCTTCTCCCTACCCTTCTCTCTCGTCACCTTAAGGCTGAGAGAGAATAGTAGGGAGAAGGTTGAGAGAGAGAAGGGTAGGGAAAAGGTTAAGGGAGAAGAGTAGGGAGAAGGTTGAGAGAGAAGAGTAGGGAGAAGGTTGAGAGAGAAGAGTAGGGAGAAGGTTGAGAGAGAAGAGTAGGGAGAAGGTTGAGAGAGAGAGAGAGAGAGAAGAGTAGGGAGAAGGTTGAGAGAGAGAAGAGTAGAAGAGTAGGGAGAAGGTTGAGAGAGAAGAGTAGGGAGAAGGTTGAGAGAGAAGAGTAGGGAGAGGGTTGAGGGAGAAGAGTAGAGAGAAGGTTAAAGGGAGAAGAGTAGGGAGCAGGTTGAGAGAGAAGGGTAGGGAAAAGGTTAAGGGAGAAGAGTAGAGAGAAGGGTAAGGAGAAGAGTAGAGAGAAGGTTACGAGAGAGAGTACAGCTGGTTAGTTCATCCTCACTGTAGATACATGCGCGCAATAATGCCATTTTACGCGAAAAGAGTGGGGGGCCGTTGTCAGAAACAAAATTAGTCTCAACATGAACTTTTTCTCGTGGATCGGACACTGCGTATGAGAAACTCGTAACCATCCATGTTTCTTTGAATGGTTTACGAGGCAAGGTTAATGTTAAGACATGTTAAGAATAATTTTGTTTCCAACAACCAGCCCGGGACTGAGAAAGGTAAACTTATTCTGCCTTCTATACATAGAACTTTGCATGCACACATGCATCACTTGTAGACATAGAGTAAATAGTCAATAGAACTATAGAATATGATATCGATTCTAGACATCAAGAGATATAATCAATACCATATCACTCACTATATTAGTCCATTCCACGTGGAATGAAGAATCAGGTGCCTACTTCAGGTGGCTCTTTGCTCAGTTAGCATCAAGCTGCCATGACTAAGCCCCTGTCGTTTTTCTTTTTGCTTGCAGTTGCAAATGTTGATAGCTAACATTTCAGCATTTGCACCTGGATTCACAGTCTGGGACTTCTTCCTCATTGATCGCACCGCGGTCGTCACTGTGAGTGGTTCTATGGATACGCATCGTTTAGTTTCGATTTATCATTAGTCAATTTTTAGCTCACCTTGACATCGTCAAGCTGAGCTATTGGCATGGGTCGTCGTACGTCCATCCGTCCGTCCGTCCGTTCGTCCGTCCGTCCGTCCGTTCGTCCGTCCGTCCATCAACATTTGGCTTCGGTCAACGATAACCCAGGAACCGTTTGACCCACATGTTTGAAATTGGGTTTAGTTGTTACTTCTATGCTCCCATATTAAACGTCGTATTTTGGAGCACGCCAGTCGTCGTACTTTCGAGCCACGGTGATTTTTTGGCAAAAATGGGAATTGCCATTAGTCAGTTCAGGTTTAACGGATTTTGCTCATTTTTGGTATGTGAATGAATAAGGGCTAGGGGTTTTGACTTTTTTTTTAAATTATGCAAATTAGGTAGGGTTTGGCAATTATATAGCATATTATATAGACACAAACAGTCTGTGGTGTCACACTCGTCTGGTTCGTTTTACAATATTTCATTGACAATATCTTTTAATGCAAAATTGGTATTTCCTCTCCACCCTGCCGATAAAACGTCTATATTAGAGTAAAGTTACAAAACATGTTGGAACGCATCATAACCTATTTATTTCAAACGCCATCGCTACAAAGCGGGTATAGCGCCATCTACGGTCACAAATTGTGATTCATTTTGGTTTATAAATTATTATTGCGATATACAGATGGCAATCGTTTCTATAATTTACGTCGATGGTTGCTCAATTAAAACTGACTTCTTCTTACTCACTCATTTGTGTCCTTTTTTGTGGTGAGCTACAGTGTCATTGACACTTTCATTTATTTCGGGTTTGAGTTTTAGTTTTACACGTGTGACGCTTATAATCTGGTATGTTCGATGCGTTCTCATAGCTATTTAATTATTAAGGGGATTATTATCTGCAGTTGATAAATTAAAATAATGATGAACAGAAATCGAGAATGTGCTCGATTGCAAGGAGTTGTGTATATATATCATCGTCTTGTCTTTCTCTTGCAGTTCGTGAGCGCTGTTGTTGCTTACACAGTTATCCTCACCCAAACCTACAGCGATCTGGGAACACATGGCAATTCATCTTTGCTTAATTCAAGTGCATTCACCTATGCTGAAAACTTGACAGCAGTGTAGAGAGGATGACCTTGCCTTCTGACAGCCCCAGTCTATAAAACGAACACAATTATTCACAATGAAATTTCAGGGTTGTTGCTTGGCTGCATACATACGGTTTCATGTTGTCACGTGTTTAAAGCATTTGTTTACCTATGAAACTACGTAATTGTCGTTGTCAGTCTGATGCCTATCATTTTACAGTGCCTTTTTTGGCACTTTAATTTTCTCGTTGTGTTGCTTAAATATATGTAAATACGACGTATACTTCCAATATGTAGCACACGCAACTGTTCTGTAGTGACGCTGGCTGCCCTACTGGTTAAGTTCATGGTCAAACGCAATTGTATATGTTTTGTGATATATTTAATTATATGTTGATATGATATTAGGCATACTGATGAGAAATATGAAAAATATAACATTTCCTTTCTCTCTATGTGGTTGTTTATCAGGAAAAGATTTCTGCCAGTTGTTATAATGTAATTACAGCGCAGAGTAAATGTAAATTTCGTATAGATTATGGGATACTGTATAAAGCCCACTGCATGTTTGGAACATTTCATGCGACGTTACCTTCCTTGATATAAGTCTTATATATTATGTACGTTTTACAGATCTGTGTTCTGTGTATTTTATGTGTGAAGGGCAACAGTTCTGTTAAGTTGAAGTTCTTGCGTTTATGTGTTCGTGAATGTTTGGTGTGAGATTGTTCAGATGCGCGTGAATTCAATAATACATACAGGCAACAGCAGAGAATGATTCTTGCCTTTGTATTGTCATTGGCACTCATTGCCCAGTGTTCTATGTCTATTCAAGTGTTCATTCATGTATATACTTACATTAAATGTTGTACATGTACTGTGTGCTATATAGGGTTTAACCTGCGTGCAGTTAATTTGAATGCAATGTCTGCAAATATAATTGGTGTCAAAGAGTTTGAATCCTATTATAACTAATTTTCACATTCACTAATACCAACTAACATGTTATTCCATACTTACGTTATTTAATTGTATTGAATAATTAAATTACATAGAATGTACAATTATGTTCGTATTGCATTCTTTATTGTCCAATTGATTTTTTTATCATAGTTGTAACGCTTATACCAACAGCAGTCTTTAACACCAATTCATCCGTTCATCATTTATTCTATCATCGACGAACTTCGACGATGATCATAGACGAAAGATTGACGTATCGTTGACTCTGGTATTCTTCCGTTACACACGGAACCGTATACAACCCGTCGTAACTCACAAGGCCTACTGCCTGCGTTCACTGCTTTGCACCCGAACCCACCCAAAACCAAAACCGTCCGGACTATCATACGCGAGCCATACGCTAAAAGATGTCATTCGGGAAGTAATTGTTGGTTGGCCGCTACAATAGTAATATTACATAATGTGACAAAAACAAACAACAAAATTACAATAATGTAGCATAAGTGTAAACAATAATAAGCATAATAATAGCATAAGAGTAACAATAATAATAATATAATTTTTTCAAAATATAAAATTAATTCTAAATATAATAAAATTAATTTTTTACAAAGAAAAACGTCACTCCTGTCTCTTATGGCAGCTTGGACGCTATCATTAATCACCTACCTCTATTGTTTAGTGCAGTCACTCACCATCAGTCGTCCTCTTCCTGTTTTCAGGCATTTGAGGAAGACGACCATGAGTGATCCGCGCTACAGTAACCTGCAACAGGAAGGCGACAGACTCACTCGCGAGCTGGAGAATGATGATAGACTAGCACCAGTGCGACACACTCCTGATTACAGGTGAGGGTAGTATCCAGCGATGCGGATTCCTGTGATGCGCGAATCACCGGGTTCAACGGCAGTGCTTGTGCTTCTTCTGATAGCGTTTCTGTATATTTTCTTGTTAGCGTACTATGTTGGTAGGTATTTTAGTCACGTCAATTTCTTCCCCATCTGCTTCGTTTTCTTTTTTTTCTTTTTTTTTCTTCTGTTTTTCTATTTTTCCTACTTATTCATCTTCTTCTTTTTCCGATAAACCAATAAAAACCAACAAATCAAATAATTTGTTTCTATTTTTTCATGTACTGTGGTAGTCTGTTAGTTTTTTCAGTTTTGGTGGTTAGGATTTGACGGCACATGCTATCATTTGTTGCACGTGACGCGTACTTTTGTGTTTTCTTTTGAGAAGTACAGAGTGATTTACTGTTTTACTTGGCTATAATATGCAAAATAACGAGGCAAAGGAAAAACTGTGAGTGCGCTTGTAGTGTGTTTTAACTGTGTAAAAAAATGAAACCAAAAATGCATTTAATGTAATTCTAATAACATTACAACAAAACCAAAAATCTACCAGGATAGTTAACACAGTAAAATAGCTTTGGGGTCACACCCTGCGATTAATATTGGCGTCATGGCGTTTGTTAGCGTACGGTTACTCTAGTGACGTTGCATTAGTTAACACGACGTGCTTTAATGAGTTTTCCTCTATCCGTGCGCACGCAGGGAGACGATGTTCCGGGTGGGAGGAATGTATCGAGAGGTGCAGAAGACAATGATCAGGGTCGCGAGATTCGCCGAGAAGCGCGTCAGTAAGCTGGACAAGTGGCGCCACGTTAGAACCTTTCAGACCGAAGTGAAACAGGTGAGGCTGGATGGGTGATACTAGACATCGGGAGGTGGCGGGGGGGGGGGTCGTTGTCAGGAGCATCGTGAATTTAAAAAAAAGAAGATTTTATTGCTTTGCATTACATTATATTACATCACATTACATTACATTACATTATAATACAATACATTTCATTACATTACCAAATTACTTTACATTATGTTACATTGCATAACATAACATTACATTACATTACATTACATTACATTACATTACATTACATTTACATTACATTACGTACCATGACATTATGTCTTATATGTTTTTTTCTAAATCTCATGTATGGATATCCACTTATATGTTTTAATTTTGGATGAAGATTACTTTGCACATATTGATCAAATATTAAAACAATGTTTATATGTAACATGAAGCATCGTGAATAGTTGTGATCTCATAAGTATAAACTCTCATAACTTTTGCAGTGATGTGCCATGCGTACTCGTGATATTTTAGACTTATGACAGTCATGACTAGTTACGATGTTTCTGTCGATGGGCCCCCGATGCTAGCTAAGGGTATAGCGAGGTTATAGGACACGTTGCAGCTTATAGTTCATTTTACTGGTTACTGTTGTCCTGCGCGACGCGATCCTTGCGACGTGTGTGAATGCAGTAAGAATCGCTGTTTCCTATTACGTAATATAATGCTGAAATGTTATACACTACAATGGGATTGCTTTAAGACTTTCACTTATTAGCTGTTTTTACACACAAAAAGGACAACAAAAAGGCTAAACTCCCGATACACCTAACACATTAGCATATTAATGCGGAATTCCATGCGTGTACTTATACGTGCAGGTATTCACGTGGAATAGGAGTAGACAATGAAATGATCTACGCTGCAATACACACTCTGTAGCTGTTATTGTGCAAAAAGACTACACTAAGGCTAAACCCCTCCGCGCAGATTAGTATGGTCGTACTGAATTCTATGCATTTGCATACAGGTATTTACATGGATTAGGAACAAGGGCACACCCACGCTGGACAAGTACCAGCACCTGGGAAGCAATCTGAAAGATGTAAGAGTCCAGGAGAGAGACTTTGAGAAATTCTACTTTGCAGCTGTTGTAAGTTCATTTCCAATTGAAGTAGAGCTATAGCAATGTATATTAGTAGCTTGCAAATCAATCGGCAGCAAGTTTACTGCATCAGAAATCCGCAATATATCGCAGGCAATTTTAGCCAACTAGAATTTACATCACATTGAATTTTTATATAGAAGGCAGTACTTTTGAGTTTATCCTGTTGTGTTATTCCTTAAACTGGATGCAGAAGCAGATAACGAAAGGGAAATCGATAGTGCATTCGGGATTTCTTTAACTACAAGTAAAAGCAACTAAAGAAATAGAATGTCGTTGGTACATTCAATATTTCTTTAACCACATGCGGAAACAGATTAAGAAGGAGAAAATTGTTGGTACACTCATTATTTCTTTAACCACATGTAGAAGCAGATAAAGAAAAAAATCATTGGTACACCTGTTATTTCTTTGGCCACATGCAAAAGCAACTAGAGAAATGGAAGTCGTTGGCACATTAATTATTTCTTTTAACCACAAGTCGATATCATTCGTACATTCACTATTTCTTCAACCACTTGCAGAAGCAGAATCATTGAAAAGGAAAATCGATTGGTACATTTGTTATTTCTTTAACCACAAGTCGATAATACATTCGCAATTTCTTTAACCACACGCAGAAGCAGATAGAGAAGGAGAACTCATTGGTACATTTGTTGTTTCTTTAACCACAACTCGATATCATCATTTCTTTAACCACATGTAGAAGCAGATAGAGAAGGAGAACTCATTGGTACACTCGTTGTTTCTTTAACCACAACTCGATATCATTATTTCTTTAACCACATGTAGAAGCAGATAGAGAAGGAGAACTCATTGGTACACTCGTTGTTTCTTTAACCACAACTCGATATCATTATTTCTTTAACCACACGTAGAAGCAGATAGAGAAGGGCAAGTCGCTGGTGCAGGAGAGCGCTGCGCTCGTACGCGACCTCTCTCGGCAGCGTGAGGTGGCAGAGAGCGTCGAGGAGCTGGCGCGCTGCCTGCAGCAGGAGCTGGCAGCGTTCTGCCTACAGCTGGAGCAGACGAGAGAGAGGACGGAGGACACGGCCGACTGCTACAAGATCCTCGATCAGGTGAGCGGAGCGTCGAGCGTCGTCGATGGCGTTTGCTTGTTCTTCGCAGCACACAGAGTGGTTTTTGTTTTCGTCGTCGCATCTGTGCCGACGTAAAAAAAAACGCGTGCGTGTCTGTAACTGGACGAGTGTAGGAGCGATGGGCTAGTTGTTAGCTTTGGTTTGGGGGATTGGGTTCCACTTTGGGTCATTGCCGGTGTACTGTTTAGTAAGGCTCTTCGTTTCGACTGGCTTCGGTTGAGTGCCAGATGTAGAAATTGGATCTCCATCGTTGCATTGATGGGAGGTTTGTGTGTGTGTGGGTGGGTGGGTGGGTGGTGGGAGTGAGGGTGGTGGGTAAGGCCAGCGACCTCACCCACCAACTGTTACAGAAACTACAATAAAGCAACCCAGTTCTTTATGTGCTTACTTCACACGGAGCCAGAATAATGAATTAATCTAATAATAATAATTATTATTATTATCATTGTTATTATTATTTTCACCTGAAATTGTCTTCGACAACTACAGACTTGTTGAGACTCCATATATATATATATATATATAGAAGCAGACGTTGGAATGTATTATTGTTTAAGATCCATTGCGTCAGAAGCTGATTGCATGCATGTGTGACTGACTGCTTTGTGAGATCATGTAATTGCTATCCAAAAAATGCACGCACTTGACAAGCACAACATTTGCTTTCCTGATTCAGTCGTACGAATGGGCAGTCAACATGATGAAATACCTGGCAAGGATGCGGATAGAAGAGGCATCAAATGATGCTGATTTATGCAAGCTCAGTACAAGTCTCAAGGTACGCTTATATGGCTTTCCTGTGTTCGGTTTAACTATGTTTATTTGGCTTAACAAATCGTAGGTCCACAATGAGCAAAAACTATTGTAAAATTGACACTTTTCACGAATAATAAGAAAATTTGCTAAATTCCCGTCTTGAACCATCGTTAGTGTTCTGCAATATAACAGCTCTTCGTTTGTAGAGTTGTGCTTTCCTAGCTCGGCATTTCACTTTGTTAACCCTTAACCTCGTAAATTCCTAACTTTCACTCTTTACCTCGTTAACTCTCTACCTGTAGTCATACCTGGAGGAGCACCCGGCCATCAGCGCCGACACGTTTGACCGCGTGACGCATCTCGCGGGCAAGCTGGGCAACGACAAACTGCAGGAGCAGTGCAGGGTCGCGCGGGCGCGCTGCACTGAGACACAGCAGCTCATCGGCATGAGACAGGCGCAGGCAGACGGCGGGAATGCACGCAAGCAGATGAACGCAAACGCGCAACCGGACGCCGCTGCGCACATAGATGGCGCTGTTGCACGCGTAGATGGCGCCGCTGTGCATGTAGATGGTGCTGCTGTGCGTGTTGACGGCGCCGGCATGTGCATAGATGGCGCCACCGTGCCGGACCTGCGGCCGCCGCTGCTGCTGGCGAGCCGCAGCGTCGACGACTCGACGGTCGCCGCGGCGACGACGTTCGAGCGTCTGACGCACCGCCGCAAGTCGTTTGGCGGCGTGCCGTCGCAGCGACTCGTGGCGCCCCCTCCGCCGCCGTGCGGGCCGCGTGCCGCCGCCGCGCCGTGGGAGGAGGGAATCTCCGAGATCGAGGAGGAGCTGTTCAACGAGGGGCTCATAACGGAGGACCTCCCGGTCGTGACGACCGAGATACCGGCGAGCGCGCTTGCGTTGCGCCGCGGCCGACGTCACGGGGTCACGACCCCGCCGCCGGCGCCGATCCGGCGATGCGACGCGCTTCCGGGTCGGGTTGCGTGGGACGGGGCGTCGGGCGCGGTGCCGCCTCCAGATTTCGCTGACGCGGAGGTGTTCCACTCTCGGAGGTGAGCTCTCTATCGCGTCTTGCCGTCGAAGCTATCCCGATTTATTTACTTGTAAGCGAGAATTTATCGAGATTATTTTGAGAATATTGTTTACTGACTCGCATCCTGGGAAACAGCGTGCGATGTGTGGGTGTTTCTGATTGTGTCTGATTGTGAGTCGAGTTTGACTACATCGAGGTCTGTTGTATCTCATATTTAAAGTTAATATTGATGTGGATTTAAAATAAGGTGCTTATATCTGTTTGCTGGTATTGATATTTTGGTAAACAATGATTACTCACTTGAATATATATACATAACTACATATTTATCGTTTTACATTATCATGAAGCCAAATATTAATATACTAACGAATCTAGTGGAATCATGTGCATTAACATTATCATAATGTGTGATTGATGCTTGAAGCTGAATCTCCGCACGTTTGCTCTTCCCCGCGCAGCTTCACGGAAGGTATGATGCCCCCTGCACCCGCCGACCCCGGCACGAGCGTGCACAACCTGTCGTGGCAGGAGCCCGGCTCTGTCACGCCCGACACGCAGCGGCGGCACGTCAACCTTCTCACGTCGCATTCCATCTCCGACTTCCGGCCGCCCGGCGCCGCCCGCGCCTCGAGGTGAGTGGTCGTGCGCATCTACACGAGGCAGCTGCAGGTGTGGGTGTGAGCATGCGCTTGCTGCAGGTGGTGTCGTGCGTTTACGATTATCTACCTGCAGCGTTCACGTGCTGCGCTGGTAGGGAGCCAGGAATCCTTATTGACCCGGTCTACCTGATCGTTACCTTCACTACGAGTCTGTAATGCACGTGTCCATGATAATTGTCAACAGTGTGCGTGTGTGTGCGTGTGCGGGTGTGTGCGTGTGCGTGTGCGGGTGTGTGCGTGTGCGGGTGTGTGCGTGTGCGTGTGTGTGCGTATGCGGGTGTGTTACATGCAGAGAATGTGATACTGAGTGTGCCTTGGCTGTGTTGGCTTCTGGCGAATTTTTATAGCATGTGAATTTGCACGAAAATTATATGTGACATGCAGCAATTGTGTCACCTAGGCTAGTGCTAGTGTGGTTCCCTCATCCCACAAGCCACTGTGTGTCACACGGTGACTCACAAGAATTAATACAATTATAAAGTAATAAGTGTCTAAGCTGCTCTCTTCCTGTTTCAGAAATCTACAAATGACAATCTCAGAGATGGTTCAGACAGAGAAGGACTACGCACAGGCCCTGCTGTACATTATAGATGTAAGCCAACCTATCAGAGTCGGAATGTTTGTTACCTTTCTCTTAATTAGATAGTAACCAGCCTTGCATTTATTACTAGATAATCACGATAATTGTAAAGTCTGCTGACATTATCAGAAACATCACAGAGTCAGTAAGTTAAATGTGCACATTGTTCGTGTAAGCATTGTTCAAAGGTTATGGTAACTTGGACTCATAAATTTCGTAATTATTATGATGATCGTGGCAATGAACGCAGGTAGATTTTTTTGTTCAAGGACGTTATATTTCATATGCGGCCTATTCATCGACAGTAAATGCACCTATATGCGCACCTTATTCTACACCACTTGTGGAGATGCTGTGTGATAAATAAACTGCCTGTATATTTGTGTTTCTATTTCTGTTAATATGTGCGTGTGTGTGTGTGTGCGTGCGTGCGTGCGCGCGCATACGTACGGGTGTGCGTGCGTGCGTGCGTACGTACGGGTGTGCGTGCGTACGGGTGTACATGTGTGCGTGTAGGTAGTGCATGTATGTGTGCGTGCGTGCATACATGCATGTGGTGCGTGCATGCATTCACTTCTATTTGGGAGATAACACGTGTTAGTTCCGCGCACTAAACACCGCCCGCGTCTAATCGCACGTGTCCATCTCACATTTGTGCATTTTCCGCATTTAGAACTACTTCCAAGAGATGCTTCGCGACGACCTGCCGCAGGAGCTGCGCGGCAAACATGGCGCCATATTCGGCAACATCGAGAAGATCTACGAGTTCCACAGCCAGCACTTCCTCGGCGAACTGCAGACGTTCCGCGACACGCCGTTCCACGTCGGTCAGATCTTCCTGCGATACGTGAGTGAATGATGATGTCAGGGGGATGTTCGCACTGCGCGTTCGCAGGATGTTCCGATGCGATCGCGTCTCGGTGAAAAATGCGGAGAGTTTGCGAGGAAAGTCTGTCGGGCACAGTTGAATCGCCGACGTGTGTTCCTTCTGTCGTCAGATAGTGCGCATATATCGTCACCTAAAATCTATGAACTTAAGCTTAATACATAAACATAATAAAACTAATGGCAATTTGCATTGGGTATTGCAATGGGAACTTGCAATGAGTAAACTTATAAAACTTATAATAAATTGAACTTATGAAAGTTAAACTTGTAATGTGTTAAACTCATGAAGCTTATGTTATTGTTGTTTCATGATTGTTATAGGAGAACCAGTTTTACTTGTATGCGCATTACAACAAGAACAAGCCCAAGTCGGATGAACTGCTCACCCAGTACGGAGCAACGTTCTTCAAGGTTTTTACACGTTATATATATATATATATATCTAAGGAAGCTCCGCGCATCCCTCTCCAGGTTCTCGGTCTAGCATGTGTGAGGTAGTCACCTTAAGGGTAGCCGCCTGGTCCCGTCAATAGATAACACAAACACTGTATTACAAAAGCTACTAACCGTGCGTTCTATTACTTTAACAGCCTAAACATACAATACAAACTAACAATACAGCCGCATACAAGTAACCTCGTACCTTAATACGCGGATCGCGAAGTAGCTCGGCGAAGTGAAGGTGGTGGAAATAAGGAGTATGGAAGGAATAGGTGTAGGAAACCAAGGGAAAATCACGAGCTCGGCAAAACTGGACTCTGCGGTTGAGAGGAAGAGGCCCGAGTCTCCCTAGCTTGTAGTTTCGCATCCACAGATGCGACCCTCAACTAATAGGTGTCCTCGGATAATTTAGTGCTTTGTTTATGGTGATTGCTTAAATCTGGTCAGTATGGAACTCGTAACTATTGGACTCCCCTTTATGGTGATTGCTTATCGGATTATAAATAATATATAGAGAAGCCTGCGCTGTCCTACATATATAGACAGAGAGAGAGCGAGCGAGCGAGAGAGAGAGAAAGAGAGAGAGAGGGAGTGTGAGAGAGAGACGAGAGAATAGAGCGAGATTGAAGGAAAGTTTATTTAACTGACCAGCCATTAGTTGTGTAGCATTGTGTAATAGTGTCCATGTCTTCCTGCTCGTAGCTAAAGCAGAGAGAGTTGGGCGACAAGATGGATCTTGCCAGCTACCTGCTGAAGCCAGTGCAGCGGATTGGCAAATACGCACTGCTGCTGAAGCAGATCCTGCAGGAATGCCCCGTCAATGACGTCTACTACCAGGAGCTGAAGGTAACCATGACAATCGTTAATATCCATCTCTGCTAATAGTGTAACTTCTAGTGAAGCTGCTGTTTCCCAACACACTGTATGTACTACACAACTGTAACAACCGATAACTGTACGATAATCTACTGATAACTATGCTGTAATAGACTACCTACAGATATCAATAACATAAATAATTAATCCTTTCCAACTGGCATGATTAATGGGCAGCTCTAGTCAATCATTGTTGCTGTACGATGTTCCAAAGACAATGCTTGGCAATGAAGTTTTATAATATATATATATATATATATATATATATAGAGAGAGAGAGAGAGAGAGAGAGAGAGAGAGAGAGAGAGAGAGAGAGAGAGAGAGAGAGAGAGAGAGAGAGTGTGTGAAAGCGAGAGCGAGAGAGAGAGCGAGATGGAGCACACGCGAGAGAAAGACATAGACGTAAGATATAAATATAAATCATAATAACAAGAGCCGCTGTTTTCCCGCCCCGCGCGCAGACGGCTGAGGAGATGGTGAAGTTCCAGCTTCGCCACGGCAACGACTTGCTGGCGATGGACGCGATCCGTGACGCGGACGTGAACGTCAGCGAGCAGGGTCAGCTGCTGCGGCAGGACGAGTTCATCGTGTGGCGCGGACGCCGCAAGTGCCTTCGCCACGTCTTCCTCTTTGAGGACCTCATACTGTTCAGCAAGACGCGCAAGAGTATCAGTAAGGGCAGCCAGGAGCTCTACCATTACAAGCACAGCATCAAGGTAAGCGGCGCGCGGCACACGGCGTGCGATGGAGATGTTGGAGCGGCATGTGATGGGATGTTGGCGCAGCGTTGGCTGGCTGCTCGGTAGAACCGGCGCCCGACTCTTTAGGGCACACTTGTTGATAGATGTTGGCGTTGTCAGATGGCTCGGTAGAACCGGGGTGTGGCTCTGTAGGACGCATTTGTCGTTTCCCTCGACTGGCAGTTGTATGGTGAATCCACCTTTGTAGAACGGTCAGCTGTCTATATAGGAGACTGTGTTTCCTTCAGCAGTTCAGTGTTGAGATGATGTCCTTCAGTGTCATGACGTCTAAACTGTTTACTAATATCAATAAGCTACACATTAAATGTGCACATGTGTATTTAAGAAGATGCATACATGTGCGTTAGATGCTGGATTATATATATATATATATATATATATATATATATATATATATATATGTGATCTCTTCTCGTTTTCTACTCTACTAGATGGCAGACATCGGTCTCACGGAAAATCTCGGCGACTCTCTCACCAAGTTTGAGATCTGGTTCCGTCGCAGAAAGTCTGGTGAAGCGTATGCGCTGCAGGCGTCGGACGTGGAGACGAAGCAGGCGTGGGCGCGCGACGTGTCCATGGTACTGTGGAGGCAGGCACGCTGGAGCCGCAGTAAGTAGTCGCAATTCTACGATGCTCGATAAACTGACTGGGTGTGGGAGAGAGCGAGAATAAAACTGTCAGAGTCAAAACTTTCAACTTGTTTAAGAAAGAGCAGTGCTTGTAATTGCACAGTAAGTAGTCACGATTCTACCGAGTGTGCGCTGCTCGAAAACCCTACTGGAGGTTTGAGAGATACGAAGAGATAGAATAAGACTGTGTCCCAGATTCAAAACTACAAGCACAGTGCAAGGCACTCTGTTTAATGCGAGAGCGGTGCTAGTATTCGAATCAGGGAGGCAGTGATGGAAAGAGGTTTAAACTCTAGAATGGCGTATGAGTACAGAGTATGTTATGTCAGTCAGGACTCAGGAGTAATCGGTATATTCGCTCGATTGTTATTTTTTACATGTTGAGTAAATGCACTAGATGTGAAGCTCTTATTTAGGCACTGAAGATTATAGCCTATCGTTCACTACCGCTAATTTTATTTCATCAAATATTCTATAGCTGTAATAGCATAAACTAGGCAAGCATATTGTTTACAAAGACTTTTCTGACGTAATAAGTAATGCTTGCGCGGGCCTTCCTGACTGCAGACCTGTGAATATACAAGATGTTGTCTGTCGTAGGCTATCAAATTACTGGATGTTTGTGACCAGACATGATATTAATGCTTGCATGCCTTCCTGAGTGCAGACCTGTGACTGCACAAGATTTTAGTCGTAGGCTAGCAAATTACTGGATGTCTCTGACATGATAAGTAATGCTTGCATGCGTTACCATGACTGCAGACCTGTGGCTGCAGATTACTGGATGTCTCTAACATGATGAGTAATGCTTGCTCGTGGCTTCCTGATTCCAGACCTGCGGCTGCACGAGATGTCGTCGATGGGCCTTGGCAGCAGGAGGATGATGGACCTGAAGCCCAGCAGCAACCGCATCCACGACCGCGCCATCAACATCTCACACATGCCGAGCCTGCAGTACGGTACGTGCACATGCACCCGCTGCTAGCATAACACTGTGCACTGCTGCTAGCACATCGATGCATACAACTTCACATTGCTGTACATTGTTGTACACTGATGTACACTGTTGTACACTGTTGTATGCTACTATATACACCTCTGCACATTGCTGCACACTACTGCACATTGCTGTACATTGTCGTACACTGTTGCACACTGTCGTACACTGTTGTACACTGATGAACACCGTTGTACACTGCTATACACTTAGTCTACTGGCTACTGCACACCGCTGCGCACTGCTGCACTCTGCTGCACTCTGCTGTACACTGTCCCGTTTTGTTTTTCCTGCAGCCGCTCGAACGCGAAACTCGATCTCCGTATCATCGTTCGAGAACAATCGGCCCGGCTCGGTCATCTCCGTCTGCTCCTCCTCCTCGTCCAATAGCAGCCACTCGGGAGCCTCTCTGGCCACCAACTGCCACCTGGTTGACGGAAGTGTTAGCCAATCGGACGTGATGCGGCAGAGCGTGCTCGGCGATGCGCCGCGCGCGACCCATGTCGTGTCGCGACGCGTCAGCGTGCCCTCCTCACTAGGTATATGGCTCTGACGTGCCAGTAGAGGGCACTCCGCTGCTGTTAGTGGGCATTGTGGTCAAGTCGGAAAGTTTTGGTGCTGTGGCTTGTTTCCCGTTTGATTCCCCGTCGACTTGAAAATAATTATATTTCATATCGTTATGTTGATAATGAGATTAGCAGCACCCGAGCAGATTTTATTCTAAAATCTGTCAAAAATATTTGATCCCTATATTCTGTATTCTAATTCGTTACTCGGTTACATAGATTAAATTATCTATATTCGTCAGTAAGTTAGAAGTATTTAATAATTTATAATTATAATTAAAATTATATTATAATATTTTAATTATGAATTTGTATTAAATATAGTTACTAATTAATATGACGTCTGTGTGTATCATGGTTGACGAACTCACACTCCCTATTTTGTGTTCACAGAGAGCGGCATCGTCGCGGACCACTGTCCGAGCGAACTTTCCTCCGACGCCTCGTCGGGCGTGCACAGTTCTGAAACATCCGACCATTCGCTGCCAGGTGGCACCATCAACACGGACGCGGCGTGCGAGCGCACGGCGCTCTCGCGCCTCGAGTGCATGGTCGATTGTAACGAGGCGCCTGCAGCGATTTACTTGTGTGACGATGACAACGCTGGCAAGCAGCCGGCAACGGACACGAACGCTCACGTGCTGCCACCTAGTGTGGCAATGCTCGCCGCCTCTCCCTCGTACGCTTCTCCCAGCGCTAAATCGATCGGTGACGTCGTCGGAGAAGAGAACGCCGCGGCGCAAATAGTGACGGACGATGGTGGCGTGGTGTCGCCATCTGGGGACGAACCGAGAGACACATCGCCGACAACGAAATACGTGCCGTGCAGTGCCGACTGTGGATGCAGCGGGTCGTGTACGATTCCTATGACAGAGGTAGAATACACTAACGTTTGATGCCAGTATACGCGTATAATAAATAAATAAAGATATATATGTATGCAAATACGGGCCGTGCAGTGCCGACTGTGGATGCAGCGGATCGTGTACAATTCCTATGACAGAGGTAGAATACACTAACGTTTGACACGATTATGAGCATTTCGTTCCTATCACATTTTTGTTTGAGTGCTATTAGCCACAACCAGAGATTCAGAGATATATCTGTATATACATGTGTATGTATGTATGTGTGTATGTGTGTATATATAATTATATAAACATTAGTGATGTTTTTCGTGGGATTTTCTGTATGCAAAATCAACGTTTGGTTATAATTTCTTTGTATTTTTGCAGTTATAGGAGATCGACAGGAGATAGGGGCGTGGCAGCTAGCTCACTCACTCACTGTGCTGCCTTCTGCTACTGCATCTACACAAGTCGTCGTGGCGGTTAAAGACGCACTGCTGAATACAGAAGAGGCAAACTTTTCTCACAGCTGTGCCCATAATTTGACTCGATATGTAGCCACGATACTTCTCTAAACTGTGCGCTCCAGCCTATTTTAGATACGATGGAGGCGTGCAGATTTTTTAGCTGTAGTTGCAGGAGAGAGAGAGAGAGTGAGACAGTTAATACAGTATATAAATGAGATTCTCAATCCGTCACTGCCAGAATCCATGTGCCATTGTCACATTTATGTTTTTGCATTTGATGCTGCATGGGTTATTTAGGATAATGGCTTCCATTACTGTGGCACAATTATGAATCCATGCTACTCATTGTAGGCCTATGTTCTATCGAGACTGGTTTTGGAACGTGTATGCCATTTAGGAATAACTTCTCATTTGCTGTGTCAAGGCTGTATGTTAGGTTTCTGATTGTCATGCACCGATGTAGATCAGCATATTTTGACTGTAATAGATATTTTTTAGTTTGTGAAACGAGAATAGAGAGGTTTTCTCACTGACATCTGAGAGTGTTGGCGTGCTAGAAATGTGTGGTAGAAAAATGCTATCATCTATACAAGTAATCAAAATGCAGTTTAAACCTTTGTAAATACTTTAGTGTGATCCTATTTATGTTGCTACAGTTTTTTACGTTAGTCAGTTTTTCCCGTCAAATCATGATGAAATGTGATAGCGAGTGATTTCAATACATTGCCCCAGTAGGTGTTTTTTAGAAGATTTAGTTTACTTAGTTCTCGTTTTTATTTATTTTTATTGGAAGGTTTATTCACAGTTTTGTGTGTGAACTGTTCTGATTGTAGCTGCAAGCATACACGTTTCGCCTTCCCATGTTACAAGCCAGCTAGTCCACGATTCATCAACGCTATGATAATTTATTGTAAGTTTAGTTACTTAGGTTTCTTAATCATCTTAACACGTTTTACGTTACAAGTTTAACGTTCCTTCTCAGTAAAACTTGACCCAACGGAAGTACTACGTTGTGGCAATGTCGTTAGTAAAGCCACGTTTATATTTGTATCAATGTTGTTAATGTTTGTAATACAGTTTTACTACACTTTAAAGTATTTGTTATCGTTTATGTAAAACGCATGCAACGGAGCTATGTTAGAGAAATTGATAAAGCATGATGCGGGAAGGATTAGAAACGATACACAAAGTTAAAAGGAAATAACAAGATGTCAGAAGAGGGAAATGTTAAAACTAAGAAATTGGACGAAGGAGATTTTATGTCACGGATTATTAATCGAATAACGAACCGAAATTCAAATGACATAATGAGACGTTGTGGGTTAAGGAAGGGGACAGCATAGGATTTCAAGAAAATAATAAATGTTACAACAAGATGTGACGGGGAAAGATGAAATTATGCAATTACTGAGAACAGAGACACGTTAAAAGACTTGATAAATTGTTGAGCTGAGAAGAAGATAATGCAATAACCTGATGGGAGTAGGGTTAAATACTAGTTCAAGACGGTTGAAAGAATGTCACCTTATTGTTGCAAAATGTTGGCGGGAACTCGACGACGGTAGCCGAAACTTTTCTGAAAGAAATTTGCAGGAGAGGATATGAAATTCTGGGAGCAGAGGAATTCGATACCGTGACAATAACAGCATTGCCGGACTTTCCGGGCGCTCCACAGGGTCCCCACAGCCCTTGAGAGTCCTTGAATTTTGTTCTTTGCCATTGAAAGTCCTTAATTTTTCCTTTCGTTATTTGAAGTCTTTGGAAATATTTTATCCAAGTCCTTATTTTATGTCTAACGTCTCCAATCCTGGAATTTTACATTTTTGACCTAAAATAAATAACAAATCATCATTCCTGGTTATCTGACTGACCCTATTCCAAGTCTTCGATGAAAATGTAAAATTTAATCCAATATTCACATAATCATTGTCTACTAATGTACCAAAGTAGTTTGTCCCTAATTTTTACGTGCAGGTGGTGTAGGTGTCTAGACTATAAGTTCATCATTTTAATATTTATTTATTACTCAGTATTCTACACACGGAGTAATAAATAACAAATTATAATAGTCAGCACATAGTTAAGATCCCTGCCCATACCACCCATGACTAAAAAGAGGGAAACCAATTGGTCAAACTAGTTTTAGCAAATACTGTTGTAAACTTTGGATTAAATTTAATATTATTTGTTATTTGTTATTATTTGTAAAGATTTGGGACAAGGAGAATATGGCCCTTAATGGTTTCTTCCATGGGTTGGAGGCTGAAGAAGATCTTTAATTTCACCAGCTGAACAAGTACTATTAGCAAGAAATTTGTAGACAAAGGATTGCTCTCATTGAATTAGGGTGTAAAACAACTATTTTACTTTGTATATGAATCTAAAGTATATATGATGACTCTAAAATGCTAAAACTACTTGTCACAGATTGTGCTTGAAAAAAACGTACTCGAAAAGTCGTTGAAAAAATAATTCACACTTGTGGGAACTATGTACTGAGTTCCTAGCAGTAATAATGTACCATATAGAATCAACCATCACGAAAAACCAAGAAAATACCAATAATACCTTCTCATTCAATACCTGGTATTCTATCTATTTCTATCTATCTATATCTGATATGTCTATCTATTTATATGGTACGTTAATCTATATCCTATCAGGTTATATTCTCTTGGGAATAAGTGATCCCCCTCTCCTAAATGGTATCGCCTATGACCTCTTGCACGGTAAAAAGTTAGTGCCGTACGTGCGTTTGTCTGCGCGTGTGACTGCGCATGCGTGTGCACATCTCCGTCTGCAATCCTCCCTCCCTCCGTTCCTCCCTTCTTTTCTCTACTCTTTCCTCCCCCTTCCCTTCTCACTCCCTTCCCCTCAGTAGTTCCCTCCCCCTCTCGCGGATAGTATCGCCCACGGCATCAGTTGCACGGTGAAAAGTGAGCTAGGCAAATGTCTAGTTTTCAGCCTCAGCTTTTTCACACACCCCTTCCCCCCAAAGCACTAAATGTGGATATACGGCTATAATACGCGGTTTTTTACAGTCACACAAACACACATACACGAACGGACGCGCACACGCGGGTATGGTCGCACCACCCGTGCGCGTGCATAATAGGCGTAAATTCACATTTTGTGCCTCGGGAGTGAAAATGTTTCGGCGAAATACAGCCATTTGGCTGGCAAACTTTTCACCGTGTTCCTGACGCCGTGGGCGATACCATTCGCGAAGAGGGAGTAAGGAATAAGTGATCACTTTTATTCACTGTTAATTGAACTTTATGATTATTGTCTTTTTCATGGAGAAAAAATCTGATATAGCACAAGTGTCAATGCAATAGTGTTGAGCAGTTAAAATAATAAAATTACGAGGCGATACAGAACATTGTGTGATACATAGTTCTGAGTGATACATATTACATAAAAGCTTTACATATTGTTATAGGCGCGTCACATGATTCTACGTAAATGACAATATGAAACGACTATAGTGTACGTCGGTAATCGCCGAGCTATATAGCGGCTGTTTAATCTGCTGTCGGCACTCGTGCAAAACAACAATTTTTACTTTATATATGAATCTAAGGTATATATGATGACTCTAAAAAGCTAAAACTACTTGTCATAGATTGTCCTTGAAAAAAACATGTCATTGAAAAGTAATTGAAAAAATATTCACACTTTTGTTGGAACCATGTCCATCAGATTATGTATCTTGTATAATATAGCGTGTGGCTTATGCCGTTTAAAAGCGTTAAATAGCTATTATTGTAGAGAGGGAGTGAAGGAGAGAGAATGTGAGAGTGGAAGTGTGAGAGAGAGGAGAGAGAGAGAGAGAGAGAGAGAGAGAGAGAAGAGCGCGCGCGCAGGAGAGGGGGAGGAGAGGCCGAAAGAGAAAGAGAGAGAGAGAGAGGAGAGAGAGAGAGAGAGAGAGAGAGAGAGAGAGGGGAGGAGACAGCGAGAGAGAAAACGAGGGAGAGAGCTAGAGAAAATTAATTCGATCTAATCTCATCACTTTGCACTTGAGGATTCTATAGTAAGAAGGTCGTATACACTAGCTTTCCTTAAGCCCATTCGCTTATTTTTAGTACAAACCGTTTCTTTGCGCTAAGTTACCAGTAGAAAAATGTAAACTGCTGGTTTAAACGACGTCAACGTTTTCTAGTTGCGAGTGAATATTTACGCGACAATTATTTTAATATCTGCTATACACAGCCACACTGCCGCCTACCCTCGTCATTTCTATTACTATTACATGATTCTTGCACATCGATACATACAAACAATGAGATCTTGTTTAATAACGTTAAAAACTGTCATGTCTAGTAGCAGGCAAACAATACAGCAACCGCGATCACGGTTATAATTATACCTCAACATACAACATATCAACACGCCTCCAGAATAGTACACTCACACTCAGCTATGGACAAGCACGTCAGCTATATGTAGTATGACATCAGATCAGGGATAAATAAAAACAAACTTGTTTTTACACAGTCCTGATCACATCATAGTCCTACAACGAATCACGATTACATCAGAGATGCTAACTTCACTGCACGTTACAAAGACCGTATACAATATACCGTGCGCGGTCTTTGACGTTTATACAACGACAAGCGACGAAAAATCTGCAAACAATTACAACAGTGAAAGTAAACACAAGTGCCACGTCAACGGGGAAGACTGGTGGGTAGAGACGTGTCGATAATGAGCAAGTTGGAAAAGGAGAAATGATGGAGACAAGAGCATACAATCGAGTTTGGCAACAGTGAAAAACGACATCACGAATATCTTATATTGCACAGAGTACAAGTCTTGAAGAAATTCGAGCCCGCTGACACTTTATTCGCCCAATGCTTTTACAGTTAGACGTGTTTTTCGCAAGGCAAACCTAACATCAGTTCTGAGTTTTCTACGAGTGTGGAAGTTAAGTGATTAAGGAAGCCAGCCACAAGAGGGCGCCCCGGTAAATGGAGACAATCTCTACATCTAGCAATATTAAATATGGCTAGAGAATGACATCCGTCTGCGTAGCACGTTGATATGACTTCTATGCGTTTCATAAAACAACGCCAAACGCTTTCAGCGGTTTCAAATCTAACTTAAAACTAGATCGAACATAATATGTGGTATACATATATTTCTTCTCGTTTTTTTTTGTGGATACTTGGCAATCCGAAGAAAGATCTGATTAGAAAGACAACACAAAATATGAGAGAGTTGGGAAAGACCCTCACACAAATAACGCAGATTGTTTTTTCAGGGAAAGGAGAGGGTACAATAGCTTAAATATACCATAGCATTTATTTACTATTTAAAACATGTCATGGATGGGTAACAACAATTAAAAAAAGAAAAAATATGATCAAATGGCTTACACACAAAATGAAACAGTTTTTGCCATCAAAAGCCATCAGATCCTATATACAATATATTCGTCAACTATACATAGATTCTGTTGTTTTGATATAAAATTTAATCAAATATTAAATATTTTACTAAAATTAAATACACACGGTGCACAACGTAGCACATGAAAATATTGCAGAAAAATGTAAACGTGAATATTAATCTTGTAGTATTAATTATATAAATGCACAATTAAGATTTTTAATAAATTGCTTGAATGTAATGAATACAATAATTATGCAGTCCATTACATTACACATTGAGCATGCTTTTCACGATGGGGAGCTACGCGGCACATGCAGGGGCGAATTTACACTAACCCTCACATCTGCTTGATGCGGATATAAACACAGGCGTTGCAAAATCTGAAGAGCCACAAACAGCCTCTGTTTGCTCTACTTTACATTATAATTACCACAGCACAGATATAACAAAGGTCTAGGCAACCGCTAGGTGTCATACACCAGTATGCGCACATGATGTGCCACCTTCTGTCATTAATACCAAAAATAGATCAGACTCGAGTGTTGAGCTATCTATTTTGCTAATACTCGTGCGAATATGAGAGTGGAGCGTAAGCTATAATTGTAGTGTCGGGTCGTCTAAGACTGAACCCACTCTGGCAGTCACGGTCGCGACTTGCTTCGTTCGCGGTTGCTAGTGGCTCGCTATGTTTCACTACGATTGCTCTGGCTAGCACTTTGCCTACTTTCTAGACGTGGGATTCCAGTGATCACTGTCGTCGTCGACGATATCGACTGTGTCGTTTCTGTCGCGCGCTGCCTCCTCTTCGCTCGTCGCCACTTCTGTCACTCTGCCCAGGCCGACCTTGACCGAAAATATGCCAGTCATGCATATATATTAGAGTCGGTTTAATGCACTAGCATATGACATCTCAGTCATGAGGTTTCCCAGTATGGCGTTTAGAAGTATTCGTAACTCTTTTAATTTTTGCATGTCATGTGGGGCCAGACTGCAAAATTCGGCGCACAATAATGGTACTAAACAGCACTGTTGCTGTCGGTCAGTTGGGTGTGCCGTTTGTGCCGTACGTGCGTTTGTCTGCGCGTGTGACTGCGCATGCGTGTGCACATCTCCGTCTGCATTCCTCCCTACCTTCTTTTCTCTACTCTTTCCTCCCCCCTCCCCTCTCACTTCCTTCCCCTCAGTAGTTTTCTCCCCTTCTCGCGGATAGTATCGCTCACGGCATTAGTTGCACGGTGAAAAGTTAGCCAGGCAAATGGCTAGTTTTCAGCCTCAGCTTTTTCACACACCCCTTCCCCCCAAAGCACTAAATGTGGATATACGGCTATAATACGCGTTTTTTACAGTCACACAAACACACATACACGAACGGACGCGCACACGCGGGTATGGTCGCACGCACCCGTGCGCGTGCATAATAGGCGTAAATTCACATTTTGTGCCTCGGGAGTGAAAATGTTTCGGCTGAAATACAGCCATTTGGCTGGCAAACTTTTCACCGCGTTCCTGACGCCGTGGGCGATACCATTCGCGAGAGGGGAGTAAGGAATAAGTGATAACTTTTATTCACTGTTAATTGAACTTTATGATTATTGTCTTTTTCATGGAGAAAAAATCTGATATAGCACAAGTGTCAATGCAATAGTGTTGAGCAGTTAAAATAATAAAATTACCGAGCGATACAGAACATTGTGTGATACATAGTTCTGAGTGATACATATTACATAAAAGCTTTACATATTGTTATAGGACCGTCACATGATTCTACGTAAATGACAATATGAAACGACTATAGTGTACGTCGGTAATCGCCGAGCTATATAGCGGCTGTTTAATCTGCTGTCGGCACTCGTGCAAAACAACAATTTTTACTTTATATATGAATCTAAGGTATATATGATGACTCTAAAAAGCTAAAACTACTTGTCATAGATTGTCCTTGAAAAAAACATGTCATTGAAAAGTAATTGAAAAAATTATTCACACTTTTGTTGGAACCATGCTCCATCCAGATTATGTATCTTGTATAATATAGCGTGTGGCTTATGCCGTTTAAAAGCGTTAAATAGCTATTATTGTAGAGAGGGAGTGAAGGAGAGAGAGTGTGAGAGTGGAAGTGTGAGAGAGAGAGAGAGAGAGAAAGCGCGCGCGCAGGAGAGGGGGGAGGAGAGGCCGAAAGAGAAAGAGAGAGAGAGAGAGAGAGAGAGAGAGAGAGAGAGAGAGAGAGAGAGAGGGGGGAGGAGACAGCGAGAGAGAAAACGAGGGAGAGAGCTAAAGAAAATTAATTCGATCTAATCTCATCACTTTGCACTTGAGGATTCTATAGTAAAGAAGGTCGTATACACTAGCTTTCCTTAAGCCCATTCGCTTTATTTTTAGTACAAACCGTTTCTTTGCGCTAAGTTACCAGTAGCAAAAATGTAACTGCTGGTTTTTACACGACGTCAACGTTTCTAGTTGCGAGTGAATATTTACGTACAATTATTTTAATATCTGCTATACACAGCCACACTGCCGCCTACCCTCGTCATTTCTATACTATTACATGATTCTTGCACATCGATACATACAAACAATGAGATCTTGTTTAATAACGTTAAAAACTGTCATGTCTAGTAGCAGGCAAACAATACAGCAACCGCGATCACGGTTATAATTATACCTCAACATACAACATATCAACACGCCTCCAGAATAGTACACTCACACTCAGCTATGGACAAGCACGTCAGCTATATGTAGTATGACATCAGATCAGGGATAAATAAAAACAAACTTGTTTTTACACAGTCCTGATCACATCATAGTTCTACAAACGAATCACGATTACATCAGAGATGCTAACTTCACTGCACGTTACCAAAGACCGTATACAATATACCGTGCGCGGTCTTTGACGTTATATACAACGACAAGCGACGAAAAATCCTGCAAACAATTACAACAGGTGAAAGTAAACACAAGTGCCACGTCAACGGGGAAGACTGGTGGGTAGAGACGTGTCGATAATGAGCAAGTTGGAAAAGGAGAAATGATGGAGACAAGAGCATACAATCGAGTTTGGCAACAGTGAAAAACGACATCACGAATATCTCTATATTGCACAGAGTAATCAGATCTTGAAAGAAATTCGAGCCCGCTGACACTTTATTCGCCCAATGCTTTTACAGTTAGACGTGTTTTTCGCAAGGCAACCTAACATCAGTTCTGAGTTTTCTACGAGTGTGGAAGTTAAGTGATTAAGGAAGCCAGCCACAAGAGGGCGCCCCGGTAAATGGAGACAATCTCTACATCTAGCAATATTAAATATGGCTAGAGAATGACATCCGTCTGCGTAGCACGTTGATATGACTTCTATGCGTTTCATAAAACAACGCCAACACGCTTTCAGCGGTGTTTCAAATCTAACTTAAAACTAGATCGAACCATTAAATATGTGGTATACATATATTTCTTCTCGTTTTTTTTGTGGATACTTGGCAATCCGAAGAAAGATCTGATTAGAAAGACAACACAAAATATGAGAGAGTTGGGAAAGAACCCTCACACAAATAACGCAGATTGTTTTCTTCAGGGAAAGGAGAGGGTACAATAGCTTAAATATACCATAGCATTTATTTACTATTTAAAACATGTCATGGATGGGTAACAACAATTAAAAAAAGAAAAAATATGATCAAATGGCTTACACACAAAATGAAACAGTTTTTGCCATCAAAAGCCATCAGATCCTATATACAATATTTCGTCAACTATACATAGATTCTGTTGTTTTGATATAAAATTTAATCAAATATTAAATATTTTACTAAAATTAAATACACACGGTGCACAACGTAGCACATGAAAATATTGCAGAAAGATGTAAACGTGAATATTAATCTTGTAGTATTAATTATATAAATGCACAATTAAGATTTTTAACAAATTGCTTGAATGTAATGAATACAATAATTATGCAGTCCATTGACATTACACATTGAGCATGCTTTTCACGATGGGGAGCTACGCGGCACATGCAGGGGCGAATTTACACTAACCATCACATCTGCTTGATGCGGATATAAACACAAGCGTTGCAAAATCTGAAGAGCCACAAACAGCCTCTGTTTGCTCTACTTTACATTATAATTACCACAGCACAGATATAACAAAGGTCCTAGGCAACCGGCTAGGTGTCATACCACCAGTATGCGCACATGATGTGCCACCTTCTGTCATTAATACCAAAAATAGATCAGACTCGAGTGTTGAGCTATCTATTTTTGCTAATACTCGTGCGAATATGAGAGTGGAGCGTAAGCTATAATTGTAGTGTCGGGTCGTCTAAGACTGAACCCACTCTGGCAGTCACTCGGTCGCGACTTGCTTCGTTCGCGTTGCTAGTGGCTCGCTATGTTTCACTACGATTGCTCTGGCTAGCACTTTGCCTACTTTCTAGACGTGGGATTCCAGTGATCACTGTCGTCGTCGACGATATCGACTGTGTCGTTTCTGTCCGCCGCTGCCTCCTCTTCGCTCGTCGCCACTTCTGTCACCTCTGCCCCAGGCCGACCTTGACCTGAAAATATGCCAGTCATGCATATATATTAGAGTCGGTTTAATGCACTAGCATATGACATCTCAGTCATGAGGGGTTTCCCAGTATGGCGTTTAGAAGTATTCGTAACTCTTTTAATTTTTGCATGTCATGTGGGGCCAGACTGCAAAATTCGGCGCACAATAATGGTATACTAAACAGCACTGTTGCTGTCGGTCAGTTGGTAGCTAGGAATCCAGGGACAGACATAATGATGATAAATTTATTGATGATAAGTCGGCTGGTTGCCGAGAATGACATCCGTAATCGATAATCTCGTCACGAGGTGAGAACGAAAAATCTTAGCCATGGAAAAAAAACTTAAACGTTGGGTTTGATGTTGAAACAAAACACGAGTTATGTGTGCGTGTGCATGTGTAAGTGAGTGAGTGAGCGCATGCATGCAAGCATTTAAGCGCAATATGCATGCATTCGTGTGTGCATTGTATTTTCACAGATCGATGGGTCTAGATTATAATATACAAAATTTGACAATATTTGACTTATAATGTAACATACACATGTCATATAAAAGCCATTTGGCTATCAATTATAAATAATAGTTTTAGTCTGTGATATCTAGCTTGTTGTGAATGCCACCATCCTAGTAACAATTAACAACTTGCTAGGTTTCCCTCTATAAAAATCTATTATTAATTATAGTGCCACCTAGCTAATTGACTGAGGAAAAAATGTAGACCTACACCAATAGCAACCCATAGAGCAGGAACCTATAGCCAACAACACAAGCATAAAATAAATAAATAAATCAAGTTAGACCCAAAACAAAATGGTACACACGTTCTAAGATGAAAAGAAATACCTCCACCAGGCAGTCACACTAGTAGCAAAAATATAATTGAATCGTTAGGACAGAAAATTCACCAAAATACCAAATTCTACCAGACTATCGCAATTAGCACTACAGGTGCGTGTGCGCGCACGTGCGTACGTGCGTGCGTGCGTGCGTGAGTGCGTTTGTGTCTCCCTCTGTCTCTCTCCCTTTCTTTACCTCCAACTCTCTCCCCTCTCCTTCTATACGTGCGTGCGTACGTGTGTGTGTTTGCGTATAAGTGTGTGCATGCGCGATTGTATGCATGTGCGTGCGTGCGTGTGCGTGTGAGTGTGTATGCGTGCGTGCGTGCGTGTGTGTGTGACTGTGTGTGCGTGTACATGTCCAGGAGCGCATGCGTGCATACATGTGTATACATGCGTGTAAATGGCTGAGCAAATACGTGCATACCAGTATAAAAGTTGGTGCCCGTACATATGTCAACCTATGAATGCATGCATGCACATTATATTACTGACTACAAAGACACCATGGTCAAAGTATAGGTAGCCACTACCAACCACAAACCTGGATGATTTTGAGCCTCTGTCTTTTTTCCTATGACTGGAACGATCATTTTGCATAATTTCCCTCTCACCTGAATATCCCAAAAACTTAAACATATAACAACAATATTTATCTAGCATATTATGCACCTATTCATAAAAACCATTGAAAAATACGCCGACTATCTAGTCTTGTAAGTTTTTAGACGTGATTAACAGGCGATTCGATGTGCCAGCTTCGAAAACTTCAATGATCAACCGCCTTTGGGATCAAAGAAACACATTATTTTATTCTGCCATTCTACGATTGCTATTCTGATATTAAAAATAGGCTATTGGATTCACTTTGTTTTTGTTTTACCTGTAACAGCAGGTGGCCTATAGCGAATGGTGCACTCCCGCGACCCCTGGCATTTGCGTAGCTTGTTTAGGGTGGCATGCATCACCTGCAATATGCTCTCATCCACGTCCTGCAGTTGGTTCACCAGCTAGAGAGACCAAGAGCAAAACATGATACGACTGACAGATGTCAACGGAGAAACAGCCCAATACAAATAATTACTGTTATGGCAACTTTGTTTGCATGGAGACCGTGTTTGACAGCTTCCAATTCTTTTAGGGGGTTGCAGTAGGTTTTTATAATTTACCCTTTGTAATACGCTAATACGCATGTAAATGTATTTCCGTGTGACACATGCACAATAAATCTCGATTACAAAAATGCAACTATTATTATTATAAGAATGTTTTCAACTTACACGTGAACTACTGTATCATGCGCACCTAGGGGCAGAAATCATAAAGCCGTTTCGTGCTATTAAAGTGAGTAGAATGCCCCTGACATACCATACTTGTACTCTCTGCCTCAATTTTATCACACGGCCACGGGTTATAGGTAGTATCAAACCAAGACGTTACAGAGTAGCACACATGACACCTCACCTGGTAGGGATCATTTGTGAGATTGTAGAAGCTAAGAAATCCAGTGATAAACTCGCAGTAGAGGAAGTTGTGCGTCTCGTTGATCGTGCGAATACACCAATACGTGTTGTTGTTCGACTGCTGGCACGAGCAAAATGGTCCCACTACAAGTACAAACACTATACACTGTACCGGGGAGAGGGAACAGTGAAGGGGGTAGGGCCCATTCCCAATGCATCAAAAGTTCCAGGTCAAGAAATCGGCCTTTCCGCGTCCCAGTTAACTTCTGTTCCCGAATTACTACAAATGGTTTTTTCCGGGTTTCCAGAGAATTATGTGGTCCCATCCTGCAATCCGATAATAACGGTCTCCCCCAACGGCTGTACTACATGCATATAAGGTAGACGGTCACCGAAATACGAGCAAGCTTGCCTGTACCCATGATTTCACTGTAAGCAATATCAGAAGTGGATTACACAAATGCCTTATTCTGTATCTCTCTCTCTTGGTGTCATGTGTTCTCATCTCACTCTTAGCAATATGAGCTGAATAGTACGTATCAGGGCACGTGGAAACCTACAACCTGAATGCATTCCCTTCCACGACGTTCCATATTTCATTATTCCTTGACGAAATCACGAAAGGGACAAAAATGGGCAATAGCTGGAATAGAATATAGCTAAAGAGAGATATGATATATCCACTGGACGGAAACAACCCTGAATACAGCATAACAATGGCGGACGGGGAAGGAACGAAACGTACGCGTCCACAGCGGAGGCGTCCGCCAGTGGTCGTTATCGTGAGAGAAGCAGTTGATATTCTTGAGATTGCAGAAGTCTTTGGACTTGCTGTTTTTCCTCTGCCTCTTCTTCTGCCGCCGCACCTCGGCATTCAGTTCTTCTCGTGACATCATCGCCTTCTTGTTGTCCTTCTTCAAACCTCTCCTGTTGTATCTGAATGAAACGGTCACATGACTGCTCAGTAATGATATATACGACCCAACCGTGTTTGTCCGACATTTAAAAAAAAACATCTAAAGGAGGAGAAATCCCAGAGATTTCTGCATAGTATCTATTTTTTGAAGATAGTTTTTCTCTATTTGTTTCGAGACTCTACTCAGCAACGTGTGCATGGCAATTAACATTCCACGTAAGAGCCTATATATACCGTGTGATCAGATCAGTGTGTCGTATAAAGTGTGATCACGACAAATCTAGATAGAGTTCCCTTTACACAAACATGCTACAGATAGTGACATGCCAGCTCCCATTGATTGTAACGAAGCTTATTGAGTGATGACACGGAGGGAGATACACGATATACAAATATATTATATATATAAAATATAATATATATATATATATATTATATATATCAAGAGTAGACAATAGGGAAGGAGTGTGACTTTAATAAACAAGGGAAATTCGTCATTTACTAGCCTTAGAATACCTACAATTTACTACGCGTAGACGTAACTCAACCAACTTGAGCTCAAATCGTACACAGTACATTCGCCTAGCATCGTGCGAAATCGTTTCCTCATATACACCCGCGATCCGAAGATACAGACTAAAATGTACGACACGATTATCCATTCTGTTGCCATCAATCCGAACGTATTGTCCGCCTGACTTGAAACAAAAGGCAGCTACTAACGCTCGGCGATGCGGTGTGGCTCGCTGGGATATTGGAGCTGGAGCTGCTGCTGATTGCGGTGGGCGTGCGTGCGTGGGGGGCATACCAGCTGTATGCCGGTATGCCGGTATGTAGCTGTATGCCGGGTCAGAGGTTATCTCGCCGAGTGTTGCATCGATGTCCAATCTCCCAGCGAGCCACACCGCATCGCCGAGCGTTAGTAGCTGCCTTTTATTTCAAGTCAGGTGGACAATACGTTCGGATTGATGGCAACAGAATGGATAATCGTGTCATACGTTTTAGTCTGTATCTCCGGATCGCGGGTGTATATGATGAAACGATTTTGTACGATGCTAGGCGAATGTACTGTGTACGATTTGAGCTCAAGTTGGTTGAGTTACGCATAGTAAATCGTAGGTATTCTAAGGCTAGTAAATGACGAATTTCCCTTGTTTATTGAAGTCACACTCCTTCCCTATTATCTACTCCTGATATATACACACATATATAATACAGGATTGTAAAACCAAACGACGCAAACTCGTAACCCATTTTTAATAGTAAAAGTAGCAATAACATTTTCAGCCTCCACAAGAAAGAGGCTTTCTCTCTCCTTTGCAGCAATTGGTTTCTTAGCTATAGCGTATAAATGGAAGCGGGAAAACACGAAGAATGAACAGATATCAGTGCAAAGTAAGTAGAAGCAGCCAGCCAGGTGTAATGCACCGAAATGCACCGGAACTGTAAGTCAAGTGTGCGCGTTACACGAGCGGCCATGCAGGGGTACGCAGTGCACGACGAATCACCTATAATTTTGCTTGAAGATATCAAAATCTTTTTTGTCGCGATATCTAAACGGCGGATGGCGACCCTTTCGTCCGGCTCTCGACCACTTTGCCCTTGAAATTCACGCAAATCCAGGATGAGGTGAGTATTACATAGGCTGTGTGGGGACAGCTATTATACAGTGTGTTAGCTATGAAAAATTATTAATACCAACTACGTGTAACCATTAGTTTAGACTAGTTTACTTTATCTAATAGTTACATTAAACGTAAGAAAAACCAATGAGACATTTTGGTACACAGAGAACACTTAAACATAACAACAGTGACTGCTTATAATTACAAAAATGTATTAAAAAAATATTTTTGCAATAACTTGCTCAACTAACCTCTGTTTGTCTCTTCCTCTAACCACACCGTATTTGCTGTTTCCACCCAGCATGATGTCTATGTAATCGTCAGCCTGTTCGTGATAAAGGTATTCGTTACTTAACAGTTAATAACAGTCTATTTTTATAGAAACTACAGCAATTTCTAGTTCAATATTTGGCTTAATAAAAAGGTGGCATGTCTGCCATTGACACTTTACCTGTATTTTAATTATTATAAATCACATCGATCAGATATATCTCTCAGTGTCTACATCTTCTCTCACCTGGTCAGTGTTCGAGCAAGTGTGTCCCGTGGTACCCACTAACATTCATTATTAATTATACCATCAGAAAAGCGTCGAGCTTCACGAGCGAGCAGTTCTTACAAAATAGGGTTGCCGCACATGAAACGAACACGCGGGTACAATGTAATGGCGTCTATCGCAGGCGCACACACCTCCACGACGTCATCGGTTGTCCTACCCTCGGAGTCGCACACACACGGCTGCCCATCGTCCTCATACCTGCTGAGAGCCGGTCGCTGGTCCTTCAGGTGTTGCCGGATGTCCTGGTGACAGTAATTAATCGTGACATCAGCTGAATCGATAAAACGACGCTCGAAAGTCAGCGCACGCCGGCACTGATCTATCCGTCGGGCATGATTGGCGGGCAGTTCCAGCCAATCAGCCAATAGACATTCCGATGGGGCATTCTAAAACAACACTTAGTAATAACGCACTGCTAGGTTAACATCTTGATGTTCACCATGCTTAGCCGTGTTTAAACCGTGTTAGCTCGATAGGTTATCTCGCTCAGGCAAATATCGTTACTGTCTGTCTACAAGACAGCTTCATCGTCTGTCATTTTCATTGTCCATGTTTTCGCTGCCCCTCGTTTGCAGTATGGTGGGGTGAGTGACGGACAGCGACGTACTTTCAATTGGTCCAGCTCCTGCTTGTAGAAGCGTATTCGCCAGTCGATCGTCTGCTTGTGCTTCTTCCACACCTCGACGTCGCTGAAGATGTGCGGATCGCACTCGACCGAGTTGTTTGGATACGTGATGCAGCCGGCGTCGGGTTGTGCGGCAGCTGTAAAAGCTACCCGAGCGATAATCACAGCTAGCTGCTTACAACTTACTTACTCAAGCCACTCCAAACTCTGTGTGCATGGCTGCGCAATTTCACTCTTAATCGTTTTTCTTCGTCGATGTATTCTTAATTAATGATTTTAGCTGGAACGTGGGGCTGCGGTTACTGCCACAGATTTCTGGTTATCACAAGAATGCTGCACATTTTTGTTCTAGGCAAATGCCTGTGTCATAATCCAAAAACGCTTATATGACTGGCCACACATGGCCACAGTAATATTTGTTAACGTCTGGAATTATTGATATTAGTAAAGCTGCTTTGTGAATTTCCATATGGCGAGGTTATTAAACACTGCAAATCTTCTGATATTGGGAAAATCAAACCAAGTTACTCTCATCCACTAAACATTTTAGAAATGATGTAACTGGTTAGGAAAGTTGTAATGCTTACTTCTGTTAGTAACTGGTGGTTGCCATCCTACTATCGTCTCATTGCTGGCTGCAGTCACAGAATTTTGATAATTTCCCAATCGGCTCTCTCGATTCTCGCGAGCTAGCTTTCTCCTTTTCTCCTTCTTCTTCTTCTTTTGCTTCTTTTTAAGATGCTGCAATGATGTCAATACAGATTGATATCAAGTGTACTAGAGCCGCGTACATTTAGGTTAAAACTGCTATAATAAAACGATATAGCGACACCCATAACATCACATTTTTATAAATAATATCTCGCAGTTTTACGTATTTACCCAACTGGAGACCTTTAGTACAATCTTAGCACAGCACATATACAGCGCAGCCGTGATTCAACATAAATTTGTAATGCTGTAAATTTAATCGCTATGGCGACTTACAATTAGAAATTTCGCAGACGATTGCATTCATAAAGTATTAGTGCATAATATAATTTGTATCTACAGGGAATATAGAAACGGCAAAGGATCATTATTTCCCTAAATTGGTATTCGATCATCTTCATTACACTCACTCTCTGACGTTTCTCCAAGTTACGAGGAAGCCTCTGCCTTGGTGGTTTGATGAACATCGGATTAAATTCTACAAACAACACCGTGAACAGTCCATTAGTTGCTTCTTATTGTCAAATTATTAACAAATATAAAAGGAATCAATATGTTTTCTATGTAGCAGGATTATTCATAACGCCATTAAGGGAGCAATTTTTTGGCTATTATTGGCTTATTTCTGAAAGAAGCACATCCGTAATAAATATATTGAGCAAATCTGATATATAATAGATAATTTTATCCAAAATGTGCCACCTCCTCCGGCCATCGGTTCTGTGAGTGGCCAGGTAAAAAAGACAAAAGAGATCATCCACCACCTTAATCCAATAGGTAAATCTCATAGTGGTGTACCTTTGGATTTGCCTTTACCCTTGCTAACGTGCTGCTCCAGGAAGGCTCTCTGCTTGCTCCTTTCACTACGCACCTCCTCTTGTTCAGCCTTCTTACTCCTGCAAACACACACGCCTGTCTTCATGCTGCCATGTCTACACTTGTGCTTTCTCCAGCGCCCGCCCTCATCGAGGATGCACTCGAATTGCTAGGGAGAGAAGACGGCAACGGTGTTACACAGACAGTCGAGCCCAGCTATGCGAGGAAGACAATGAAAAGAACGTGGTGAGACGACACTCGAGCTGTTTACAAAACACGAGTGAACGCTACTTTCGCGGGATGCCTAGAACAATTATCGTTTGGTGATTTCATTTCAGCGTAGTAGGAGATAACCGGCAGTACCAACCCACAATTATATACCAAGTCATTGATTTGTTGGGTTGAGACTTGCAGGTAAATTCTATTATAGAAACCCCTCTAATCCATGGCGGTAGCACTAAATTTAGGTTATGGTATGGGTTAGTGTTAATAAATAAGGTTAGGGTTAGGTGTTAGTGTTCGGACTAGGTTTAAGTTTGGGGTGATTATGATGATGATGATGATGATGGTGATGATGGTGATGATGATGATGTTGATGATGATGATGATGATGATGATGATGATGATGATGATGATGATGATGAAGATGATGATAATGATGATCATGATCATGATTATGTATGGACGTGGGGTTTTAAAGTAGACTAGAGTCAATAAGTGCTACTGTTTATCTAGTTGTTCACCTGGTGCATGATGCATGGGCTTGCATATTCAGGCTTTGAGCACTCCTTGGCCAGTCGTGCTTCCTTGCTGAATTCCCCTTTGTTCTCAAGCCGCACTAAATCCTTCAGCATCTTGTTCGTGACCTTTCTGTAACGGACACGCAACGAGAAAAACAACATGCAGAAAGCCATGAGGCAAATCGATTTAATTTCGAAACACAATCGAGGCGTGAAGAAATTGCTAAATGATCGTAACGATCTTGGTTTTATAACTAAATTCCGATTAGATTTCACAGAGAAGACAAGCTTTGAAGTTGAGATGAGCAAGATCGAATTATAAATAATAAATTTTACATTAATAATGGATTTTTACATACAAAGACAGCAGGAAAGTATATGGAAAAGGAAATAACATAAAGTAGTATACGTGAGAACGTGATGCTAATGACTAATATGTGTGTTAAGTAAAGACTGAATCGTGTATGAATGCGCTAGGGATAGGAATGTACATAAAATACAATTTACCCCCTTGACACTAAGAAGGTGTCACGCCATGCTTTCTTCATCTTCATTGTGCCATCTATTATGTTGCTGTCCTCCGTGCCACCTAAATGTATAGAAAGAAAACATATAGCAGCATTATTGTCATGCACACAGATACGCACCGCGCACGCACGTGCGCACGCACACACGCACGCACATGCACACACATATACGCACACACGCACGTGCGCACACACACATATACGCACACACACACGCACGCGCACACACACGCGCACGCACGCACGTGTGTGCACACACAAACCAGCAAACAGTTTTCAAATAAGGATATGCCACACTGTCTCATAAAGACCTATATAGAACAACTCACCATGAAACAGCTTCTTGAAAGACCTTCCGTCCATGTGATCAGGCACCTCGATCCCTGCCATGTCCAGTATGGTAGGCGCCACATCAATGTTGCCAACAATGTTTGGAATGCTGCAGCATAATGAGTCAAATTCACGCGGAATATTGATACATCCGTTAAAGATCCGGTGTATGGTTTATCACGTCTTAATTGCCAAAGAGCGGGAAAACGAATGAGTCGCAACAATTCAACAATATTATGTATTTACTTACACACTGCCCATAGTTTCAAGGTTATGGGTGATAATAACACACAAAGAGCTTCTTAACCCTCAGTCAATACTTACGAAACTCCTTTGGGTATGCCAGGACCTCTGATATACATAGGCACACGGATATCAAACTCATAGGGCATGGACTTGCCCTTGACAAGGCCAAAATGGCCAAGATGGTAGCCATGGTCCGAAGTATAAATGATGTAAGTGTTGTCTAATTCGCCCAGTAGCTTTAGTTCTTCTACAATCTGGTAATGAATATTTTAACTATTTTTAGTATGTTATTTAACTCAACATCAGATATGGTGTGGTGAGATTGAATGTGGTAAATATATAAACATTGTATGTAAGCAACACCTACTTATCTCACGATTATGTTGCACAAATATTTGATAAGAATGGAGAGATCATGTTTAGTTTGCACATAGATATGGTGACATATAGATCAATAATTCATCAAACCCTATAAAAGCGGCAAATTCTGGGAGAGAGAGAGAGACAGAAAAAGAGAAAGAGAGGGAGAAGAGTGAGAGGAAGTCAGAAGTGGTACGAGGGAGAGGAAATGGAGTGAGAGAGAGGAGGGGAGAGAGAGAGCGACAGAGCTCTGATGATTGCAATAAAACGCGAAAGACGCCCTTCAAAGCAAGATCGCCACCGACACCAAACACCACGCGAAAGAAGTACGCAACAGAGCAAACTCGCCTGACCAGCAAGCCCTCGTGCGGGGAGGCCGTCGGACGATGCCTCCGCACGTCGCGAGAGAACGCGTCCGGGGGAGACCACCCACCTTTTCGACGGCGTCATCGACAGACTGCAGAGTCTGCAGACGCTTGCGGTGCAGCATGCGCGTGAACTCATGGTGAATCGGCTCCATCTTGCCGACCTGCTGCAGCATCCATTGCTTGTCTGGATTCGGCGCATAGTCGTAACTCAACAGATCCCTGCGAAGACCACGAGCCACACTATTAACGTCACGATCTCACTGCTGCCGTAATTAATCATATATCTATGTAATACATCTACATAAGATAACGTCAGGGGTTAATAATGACAAATTATTAAAAATTTGTCAATCATGACGAATTTGTCATTATTCACCCCCTGATAACGTAATACTTACCAGGAGTGAATGGAAACACTCTGATTTTCAGACACAACCAAATTTTCACCCCCTGATATCACTCATATTTTCGACTTATTGTCATAGGAATAATCTGTGAGGTGTATAAAACTATTAACGCTGTGCCGGTTTCAATTTTATATGCGTTGTCATGGCAATAACGATTCTCTCTGGTTGTAATAACAATAGGCCCACCTAGTATGAGTGGTCAAGCTGTTTCTCTATGAAAGCATCTAGAAGATAACTAGGACTAGCCTGGAGTTTCATGAAGCGTGGTGGTTTTTGTATTTTATGGTAACAAGAGCCGCAGAGCGTCTGGGCTCATCTGAGGTCTGTTGCTACGATTATAAACGTAAAATTTCAGTCGTGCGTAGTACCACATTTGTTAGGCGCAGATATGCAGACACGCAGTTGCGTACACATCATTGTTAGGACACGCCCACTATCGCAGATGGAGGTGTGGGGGAGGGGCTGGGGGAGGGTGGGGGAGAGGCAAGGGGGAGGGGGTGGGGGAGGGGAAGGGGGAGGGGTGGGGGAGGGGCTGGCTAATAGCAAAAGCAGTTCACTCCTTGTTAACAGGTCAACCAAATCCATAGTTTAAGCCCTCCTCTTGAAGGGTGCCCAAAAAGGGTTAATGCCGACACCTTACTCTTCGCGATCGTCAGCAGAAGGGACATTTCATGGTCCTTTCAATAAGCCATAAAAATGCTAGGTTCACACGCTGCACAACAAAAAAGTTTTTCAGATCAGCTCCGTCAGAGAATGTTCCTCAGAAAATGTCTAAAATCTTGCCCTGTGCCCATTGACACGCTTTGACGCGGACGGCACCTCCAAATTTTTTCGTGCACAGTGATGGCTTTTCCTACCATGATGCTATACACCGACTATCACGAGCTCTAAGTCGAGCCGTTTAGATTGTGTGCCGGCAATTCTGCATTCTTCCCCGTATACCTTAAGTTAAGGAGTGAATGTCCCCGCTGTCTTTTACACGTCTCTTGACCTTTGACCTCTGACCCCCAGCCTTCGACATCCTACTTCGTTTTGACGATCCCCCCCAACGACCCGAATATCGTGACCGTACGTCGAGCGGTTAAGATTTGTGCCCAACTGTTGACGGACGGACGGACGGACGGACGACCGGACGGACGGACGGACGGACGACCGGACGGACGGACGGACGATCATGCGATTCTACAAGCTGCATCTGACTATGTCAGATGAGCTAAAAACAGGGTGCCAACACGCAAAGGATGTGCAAAAATGGCAGTTCTACGGGACCAGAGCTAACCGCGATAATTAAGTGACCAATTCTCAAGTCAACTTTTCACACTTTTTCATAATAACGCAGTGCATAAAAAGCCTCAAACTAATGAGGAATTTGTAGGGTACGTACACACACACTTACATGTAGTCGGTAGCATTAGGAAACAGATGTGCATATTGAGGAGCACTGTCTTCGGTTCCGTGCGGGGCGGGCATGCTCAGCACCATCATTACAGGTCTGTTCGGGAAATACTGCTTCGACAGTTTCAAAAACGACATGCTGTCGTTCGCTATTAGATCCGTGAAATACTGAAAATGAGAAATAACGAGAAATAAGAGAGCGGAATGATAGTGAAAGCCCTCGTCGGGTTAGCAGCATTCTTCTGATGCCGCTGTTCTTGCTGTTGCAGCTTCTGCTGCTGCTACTGTTGCTGCTGCTGCTGGTGTTGCTGCTGCTGGTGTTGCTGCTGCTGCTGCTGCTGCTGGTGTTGCTGCTGCTGGTGTTGCTGCTGCTGCTGCTGCTGCTGCTGCTACTGTTGTTGTTGTTGCTGCTGCAACCACAGGCACTTGGACCATTTCAATAATAAAATGATGGTTAATAAATACAACTTGTCAGTACTACTACTAGCCCTACCACTACCAGTACCAGTACCAGCAATAGTCCTAATGTTTGATATGACCTAATAACTTCACTTCAACACCGTCCAATACACCGCTGCAACACATATAGCCCGCACGCCATTGTGCATGCACAAATACACAGTAGGTAACTCTAACCTACTGTGTATTTGTGCATGCACAATGGCGTGCGGGCTATGTGTTGCAGCGGTGTATTGGACGGTGTTGAAGTGAAGTTATTAGGTCAAATCAAACATTAAGACTATTGCTGGTACTGTAGTAGTACTGACAAGTTGTATTTATTAACCATCATTTTATTATTGAAACGGTCCAAGTGCCTGTGGCTGCAACTGCTGCTGCTTCTGCTGCAGCTGCTACTGCTTCTGCTGCTACTGCTAATACTGCTACTTTATCGCTACTGCAGCTGGTGCTGCTACTATCAAGAATGAATAATCACAAATGTGTTTTTTTATGTGTTCAAATTAGTGATTATTTACTCCTGCTACTATTGCTACGACTGCTAAATGACTAATACTACTATATTAATATTAACACAATGTTTCCTTGTACTTCTGATTATGGCAATCTTTTTTTTATAATTTTAATACCAGGAAATACTCACATCTTTGTGATAGTCCCACGCATGGTGAATCTTCTTGCCGTTAAAGTTAATGGTGTAGTTGTAGTAGCGTGAGTTTCGAATGAGCCCAACCCACTCCCTCCATCCGGGAGGTATGTACGTGCCATTGTACTCATTCAAATACTTGCCAAAATACCCTAGCAGTCACAAAACAAAGAGTAAACCAATAAAGACTGGGCCACAAAAACCACACACTTCAGGGTGAACTGCTGTCTGCAAAAGCAATTCCATTGCGCGTAGTATATATGTTCCCACATGTGTGTATGTATTATATATATATATATATATATATATATATATATATATATATATATATATATATATATATAGATATATATATATATATATATATATACAAGAGCTAATAACACTACATAATATATATTATTAGTTCTTGACATATTATAGTTAAATTTGCTGCCCCTATATGCAGCTGATTAAAGTAATTGGTAAAACATTTTTTATCAGGTACTAAGAGTTCATGCTAATTTTTCATGCGTATACACGCATACATATATATATATATATGAGTTTATATGTATATCAGTATGTGTGTTGCATGTGCATTTGTTATGTATGTCTAAAGAATCAAATGGCTGTATGTAAAGAGGTTTGTGAGAGGAATATTGATGTAGTTGATGTATACACGCAGTACAGAAGGCATCACTTGTCATTCCTGCAGTAGATGTATTTGCTTATTTAAGAACTATTTTTACGAAGTGCTCTGTAAAAAATGCAAGGAATTCCTACACTTGCCGATTCTGTATTTTGATGTCTTAACATAATATACTTTCAAACACTATATATCACCTAGACCATTTCCTCTGCATTTCCACACACACACTATAATATGTACTAACTCAACCCTATAAACACATTTAGTGCGTACTAAACTTGCATAATTACTAGTAACTGCGGTAGAGTATATATTTAATTCTACCATCTGCACTGCAACTTACAAGCACGTGATCAATAACACGTGTGCGACAGTTGAAAAAAAGAACAGTAACCATGTGTGACCATGTGTTGGATGGTTTGACCATGCATGGGTGTAACATCATTGGTGGAACAATTGACTATGGATGGGGGTATCATTAAGTTTGACCACACCTGAAACATTATTGGTGAAACAATTGACCATATAAGTGGGGGTATCATTAAGTTTGACCACGGGCAGAGCCAAAGAAGGACCGACCAAACGTCGGTGTTAGAACCAGCAAGCCCAACACGTATGCTCTCAGGAGACTCCATCACAGAACATCATGTCTTTCCTTGCTCACGCACCAAACTTCACATCCGTGCATAAAAGAACCAAAACCAAACAGACGTCTGTGTTAGAACCAGCAAACCCAACACATATACTCTATAAGAGACTTCACTACAGAGCATCATTTCTCTCCTTGCTCACGCACCCAACCTTTGCATCCGACCGTAACACCACGAGAAAGACACCACCACCGCAGCCGCCGCCGCTGCGCGCACGCCATACCATACCTGTCCTGTAGCCGGCGTTGTTCAGGTACGTCGCAAAGGTGCGCGTCTCGTGCGTCTGCTGCCACTCCGTCGACGAGCAGTTGTCGTTGTTCGTGTAGACGTTATGGTTGTGCGTGTAGAGACCGGTGAGCAGAGAACTGCGCGACGGACAGCACATTGGCGTGCTCACGAAAGAGTTGGTGAACGTGGCGCCCTCCTTGGCGAGGTGGCGAAGCGTCTTCGGCATGTACTTCATCGAGCCTGGGTGGGGTGCGGGAGACGGGGTGGGGTTAAAGTGATTACGTCACCGTAAATAGTAAAAATAAAAAAAACATTTCCACTTTTTCCCAAAATACAAGTAATTCTGTTCACTTTTTATGGTTAAATTGCCGCATTATACTTCCTATTTTACTATGTTTGATGTGAACATACACTCGTGACTCATACATAGCCCATAGCAAGCATCAGGAACATCAATCAGATGACTTCAACAATTAAGGCATCAGGAACATAATATCAAATCGTCCAGGTTTTTTGGATTTTTAACTAGTTGAGAAACAATCTTTTCAGGTAAGAATTTGACGATACGTTTAGTCCCATTAGTTCTTACTTTTAATGTAAAAAAATGGCAACAAAAATTTTACAAATTTTACCATAGAAAATTTGTGACGTAGTCAATGTTCGTGACGAAGCATTAATGCAAGGCTCGATTCGTGAGGTGCGTAATGTCACGCATGCGTGTGCTCATCGACGAATCGAACAATCATGACAAAATTCACCCCAAGATTGCCGTGCCAGGATATATATTATATCAGGAGTAAACATTAAGCACGCACTACTGAGGTATAATAGCACGTATCATTTACTCCTGATTGTATATATATATATATTCATATATATCACGATTCTACTATTATAATTTGATAAGACGTTTTCGTAGAGCAAAATCTAACAGACATCTATGTTGTGTTCGCTATGCACTCCACAACTAAGCGTATTCACGTCAATCCTCACGGCTGGCCATAGGCTATAAACACTGCCATACTACTACGACATCAACCAACGCTTGTACGAGCGTGGGTGGAACACTTCAGACTGCCAGGCACGCGCGTGTGTGTTGGGTCGGGTAGTGGTGGTGGTGGTGGTGGTGGTGGTGGTGTTGGTGGGGTGTGTGTTTGGTGGGATGTGTGTTATGTGGGGTGGTGGTGGTGGGGTGAGGTGTGTGTGTGTGTGTGTGTGTGTGTTAGGTGGGGGTGGGGTGAGGTTTATACCTAGCTGGTAGTCCTGGTCGTCGGTGAGCACTAGCACGATGTTTGGTTTGTTGCTGGGTTTCCTGCGACCGTAGTAGGCACCCAGTCCCTGCTGCGAACGTCCGCTCACACCTGCAACGAGAAAACACGCCAACGGTGGCAGAGGGAGGAACGTTTTCGTTAAATCTCAAGTATCATTGCCTCTCCTTTACACGCAACTTTTAACTATGCTTTAGCGACGATCGCGGTGTACACTTGGAAAACTTAAGTAGCGACTTAAATAGTATTGTTTCAGAGGTTTATTACATTTAATGATTAGCATAAATTTATTCATGATATTTATATATATATATATATATATATATATACATATATATAAATATATATATTACTTATAAAAGTTTAGGCCCCCATAGAATTACAATGACATGTCTAGTCCTGCTTGACACGTCTGCGAAATACTATGAAATACTATCTGATACTATGGATGTGTAATATTGAAGAGTCACAAGGAGTCAAACATGGCACAAAGCTAAGCACTACCACAGCAAATGGCCTAGCTGTACCTGATATAGATGCTGCACACATCACGAATGCGATGATAAGCGAAGGATGCATCTTGTCTGAAGCCAGCATCATGTCTTCAATCACTCACAGTTTATTTTACGTGGCGGAGCCTGCAAAAAACCAATGATTTTCAGACCCATCTACGCTGTCGGTACGTAGCGTGCAAAATGTAATTCACACATACATGTGCGTGTGTAAACAGCAAAAGTAAATAAGTTGTAAAAGTGACCCAGATATTATAACAGTATAAAATAGAATATGACATGTTCCATTGCTACTTTATATACTATAACGGTATAAATTCTTGGTAATTTTCAAGTTGGCATAATAAGTAGCCTATCTGCTAAATAGCTAAGACCACATTTCACTACATGGGAAATAAATGTTATGTGAGTTGGATGTATTTGAGAGATCCAATTGGCAGCGGGTAATTATAGCAGATGACTCACTGTATTTTCAATGTCACTTTTCTTCAGGGAGTAGTGAACCAGCTATAAGAAGGGTCGATGTCAGAAAGAACAAAGACAAAACATCTCGGAACAAAATGCCGTTACATTCCTACGCGATATCAAGTAGCTGTGTGTGGCCCGGGCAGGTTTTTTACGGACTGTAGCTAGGCTGTCAGCATATATATTATGTCTATTACAAAATCCTTAACGTTTTACGACAGAGGAAACAGCTTATAATTAATACAAGAAAGCAGCACAAAGATTGTGTCAACATTATGTAATCTATAATGCATCACGTCTGCGTAAGGTAAATTTATAGGTCGATCTCACGTTATCCATTTACAAACCCGCAGACGGCTTTTCCAGTGTCTAGGGTGAAAACTTTCTTCTTCTCTAGTAAATCGTAAAATTTAAATATTGCTATTGCACTCTGCAGTGTTAATCTATCGATTTCACTACTAAATATTTCCGGTTAAATCCGAAACACTTGCCCATTTTAAAATCTACCGTTCGCTGAGACACAAGACCTAAATCCTCTTTCTTTGTGGCTATTTCAACTTCCGATATTGACAAAATGCGTCTTTATTTTTTGAAGCATCGTTGACGTTGATCGCCATTTTATAAATGAACAGTGGGCCCCTAGTGCCCCTACAGTAGTATGTTTAGCAGGAACAACCGATTCGAGATTTCGATCTTTTGATCCTCTTTTACGGCCAGGCACACAGACCCGGTTCACGGGCACTGGGGCACTTATAATGAAAGTGTCAATGACACTGTAGCTCAGCACAAAAAAAGGACACAAATGAGTGTGTGAGTAAGAAGAAGTCAGTTTTAATTGAGCAACCATCGACGTACATTATAGAAACGATTGCCATCTGTATATCGCAATAATAATTTATAAACCAAAATGAATCACAATTTGCCTTCTTTATCTGCTCTTGACAACATGTATCTACTATCAAAGCCTTAATGTTTATGTACTCTCCATCGCCTACTATTTCCACGTAAATGCCGTTCAAATGCTCCTCTATCGGCAACAGACAATCTCACCGCACTGTGCACTAACCTACAGAAATATAGTTCTGTCTTTCGATTTTTCCTGATATTATACGATCGTTCTGTCTGAGACAGAAAGCTAGATCTTTCTGCACTAGACTTTGTGCCCAGCTACTGTTGAACCCGAAACCTCTTTGATTCGGGAGATACATCAACTAACACTAGCGGGGCAAGCGAAAAAACATTTTAGCGCTAAAACCCTCACGCACGAGCGAGAAAAAAAGCAAGAAATGCGCACACCAGTCATCATCGGGTATTTAACAGCTGATCATGAATCTTAACACTGCACAACAGGCGCGATGTCGGGCTTCTCAACATATCAATCAGACCCCAGACATGCACGCACATACGCTCCTACGCGCCACACACGCGCACGCGCGCACGTACGCACACGCACGCACGTACGTACGTACACCCACACACACGCGCACAAACACGCAAGTACGCACACGTACACACACACACCCACACACACGTACGAACGTAAGCACGGACCATCTCGCACACCCCCCAGGAGCACCGCTAGTCTTTTTCTTCTCAGCTTACTTAAATAGACGACACATCGTTAATACTAGCTCTCTGTTTACTCCGACTTAAAAAAAATACTTCCGAAAACAAAATTAAAGACCAATGCACGCCACATCAAGTCGCACCTAAGCTGGGCTACAGCCGATATATATTTACTCGGTAAATATTTCCGCGGACACTACTGCATGCCTGTGAGGAACGAACGACCACCGCTGCCCCCGTATTAGTAACGACGGCGTTTTTTCTGCGAAGCCCTTCGAAGCTTTGTATCACACTCGGAAAAAGAGCAAGGAGGATTTTCGAGCATTTTCGCATCGCCATCCGAGGAATGTTGAAAGCGAGCAACCGCAAGCCCCGGCAAGAGACCGATGATGATGATGATGAGGAGGAGGAGGAGGAGGAGGAGGAGGAGGAGGAGGAGGAGGAAGAGGAGGAGGAGGAGGAGGAGGAGGAGAAAGAGAACGAAAAGGATGCTGTTTTTGCAAGCTACGTTCCAGCGGCGGGTTTCTCTCGCCTGCCCGCACGGGCAGCGGTGAAGGAACCCTAGTGGCCACGGCCTGAAAGTAGTAGAACCCGGCGGGAGCAATTAAATACCTCCCTCGCCTCACCACAGGATAATAGTGCGTGCGGCATGTAGTTGCCATATATGAATGGATATTGATCAAATGTTCACACGCACGCACGCGCGCGCATACATACACACACGTACACGCACGCACGCACGCACACATACAAACACGTACACGCACGCACGCACGCGCGCGCACACATACACACACGTACACGCACGCACGCGCGCACGCACGCACATACACACACGTACACACCGGCGCGCGTATGCATCATTCCGTCAGTACCCAGCCGATGGCATGATTTGTATCTTAGCGATAGCGCTGCAACACTGATTCAGTATCGCGACACGTGATACAACTCACTTTTTATGCAATACATGCGTTTCACTACAAGATGCATGCAACGCGATTCGCACGTTAGTGGGTGTGTAGTAGCTCATATTCAGACGCAACTGTTTTTTACTAGTACAATATAAAAATGTATCGGTAATAAAACTGTAAAATCATGCAAATTTCGTAAACATTTTTTACTAATACCACCCACGTTCTATTTTCCTCGTCTATTTGAACATGGACCTTCCTTATATAAGGAAACCAACCAAATGAATTTTAACATAAGTCTTTCCTTACCAGCATACGTTCGTAATCGTAACAAGGGCATGATCACTTTAGCGCAATTCACACTATTAAAAGCGCTTGCTGTATTACAGTAGCATACCTTGGCATTAATTTCCCGTCAGTTCATTAGCACTTAATGCAGTGTGCAATAGTAGCCACATAGTGAATCATCTATCACTCCAGATAATCAGTATTATATATATATATATATTCGCACGTATTCTAACGTGTCACAAAGGCCCGTCACTCTCTCCCATATATTACACATATTAGCTGGAAATTGCAAAAACCTGCATCCTGTAAAACGGTTGCTGCACGAGACATTTCGAGGAAATTCCTACGCGATATCAAGTAGCTGTGTCTGGCCCGGGCAGGTTTTTTACTATATAAAAAAACTAAACAAAATAAATAAAAAAAATAATAAAAAAAAAAATATAAAAAAAAAAAAAAAAAAAAAGATAAAAAAAAAAAAATAATAAATAAAAAAAAAAATAAAAAAAAAAAAATAATTAAAAATAAAAAATAAAGTAAAATA